GATATTCCCGACTGCAGCGGCGACTCGCACGAGCTGATTGACCTCGTGCCACTGCGATTCGAACACATCCACCGCAGGGACTGGAAGCACCCTGACGGCAGGCCGTGGGTGCCGCATCATCCCCACCCACGCGAAACGGAACTTCACAACCCCGATCCAGATGGAATCTGCAGGGATTGTCACACGCCGACAACCTCGACGAGTGCGATTGCAGGCCGCGGACTCGCCGCCATCGCGGAAGCAGAGCGCAACGCGCCCCCCGAGGAAGGGATGTCGCAACTCGAACTCGAAGTCACCACGCATGGCGTGTTCGGCACGCCTGAGCACCCCCTCACAGGTCCCCCTTCTCAACATCTTCGAGGGATGCTTCGTGGAACTGGTGTCGGTACCTTCGATGCGCGTGGCATGCCACGCCCCTACACCCGCGAGAATTTTCTGCAGATTTACCCACATTGGCGCGACCCCACGGCAAAACTCACCGTGGAACAGGAGGAAGAACTGGCGCGCCGCGAAGCCGAGGAGCTTCGCCAACAGAGCCTCGCCGAGGCACGCGGAACGTTCACCTGCGCCGCATGGGGCGCCGAAGCTGAAGAAAGCGCCACCAATGAAGGGGGGTGGGAAAACGTCGGCGGTTGGGGAACGACTGAGGCTGGCGACTGGGGCAACACCGGCGGATGGGGCGCCGCATCTGGCGCCGACACGAGTGGCTGGGGCACCCCTACTAGAGGCTGGGGGACTTCCCGCGAAGACCAAAGGGGGGGAGAAGAAGAAGCTGGAGAGTCTGCAGTTGTTCCCCTCGGTCGTCCCCCACGCCATGTCCCACTCGCGTTACCTCCTCCTGATAACCCACCGCGCCGCGATCCATGGGACACCATCGCCTGGGGCAACGAGCCGTCAACCCCGCGTCGCACCGCTTACGGACCGGCTCCCGAACCACGCGAACCAACCCTCGTCCCTGGAACCATCCCTGGGACCAACATCCCGCTCTCTGAAATTCGTGACAGAGAATTCCTGGCGCTGATGCTCACCACCGCGACAGAAGAAGAAGAAGCAGAGGAAGAAGCATCGGAACCTGCTCCTGTACCTGACGAAGACCCTGAGGAAGCGCGCGCGCGCTACATGCGCACCTCCGGCTTTCGCGCTGACGACGCACTCTGGCACCAGCGCCTCGGACACCCTTCTCGCGCAATGCTGAAAAATTGTATCGACGCAGGCGTCTTCGCTCCTGGCGCACTCCTGCGCCCTGATGGCTCCGAAGTGAGAGGCGCAACGCATCCGCGCAATTGCACAGTCTGCCCCGAAGCTGCGCTGAGCCACCAACCATTCCCGCTGCTCGAACCTGGGACGAACCGCTACCCCAAACTGCACAAGGTGTACAGCGATTTCCTGAACGTAGGGCATTGCGGAGTCGAGGACGAGCTATACACTCTCACCTTCATTGACGCTGGAACACGCTACGTGTGGGTCGTGAACGTGGAGACGCGCGACAGAGCCTACGAGGTGTTTCGGCTCTGGCTAGCGCATGCGGAGCGGCAATCTGGAAAGAAGCTAAAGATCTGGCAATCTGACGGCGCAGCAGAGTTCAGAAGCAACCAGATGCAGACTTACCTGGCGCAGAAGGGGATCGAGCATCACATCTCTCTCCCCTACGCACATCAGCAGCAAGGCGTAGCGGAGCGAACGAATCGCACACTGATGACGAAGGTGCGGGCGCTGATGAAGCAGTCGAAGTTGTCGCCGATGTACTGGACATACGCGATGCACTACAGCGTGCGGGTGCACAACCTGCTTTCAACCACCGCGATCACCGGGAATCTCTCCCCGCACGTCAAATGGACCGGGACCAAGGGGGATACCTCCATGCTCCGCGTGTGGGGGTGCATGGTGCAGTACCGCCCGCCAACATCAACCATCGGCAAATTCGCCAGTCGCGCGCGCTGGGGAATTCACCTCGGCATCAGTCACGAGTACAAAGCATGGATCGTACTGGACCTCCTCAGTCAGAAAACCGCTCACGCTCGCGACGTAATTTTCTACGAGCGTCTCTTCCTCGACCAGTTCCGCGACGACGAACAGAGGAATGCAGATCGCGTTTACGCGAACAACGGCCACAGCTACGCAACGCCCGAAGACGAAGCCGCTGCAGCACTTCTAGAGCAGGACACCAGGGCCGAACTCACTTCGGAAGATCGGCGCAGCAGCGACAACGACGATGATTCCTCAGGAGGAGGAATAGGCGGAACGGGCGGAAGCGGCGGAGGCGCAACACCATCAGCACCACCTGAAACCGAGAGCGACGATGATGACGTGCAGGAAGTCGTCCCGCAGCGTCACCACGACAGTACCGTCTCAGGACTACAACTGCTCGGACTTCACACCGCAACCTCGAAAGCGCCGCGCGTCACTGAGCCCCGAAACCCGCGCGAAGCCCTCTCTGGACCACACAGCAAGGAATGGCGTGAGGCAATGGACGCGGAAATCAAGGCACTGGAGTCACGCGACACCTGGGTGCTCGTTGACCGCGCAGCAATCAAAGGTGCAAGAATCCTTTCGGGGAAGTGGGTCTTCCGCGTGAAGACCGCAGCTGACGGAACGATTGAGCGCTTTAAAGCGCGCTGGGTGGTTCGCGGCTATGACCAGAGGCATGGGATCGATTTCGACCAGACATTCGCCCCCGTCAGTCGCCACACCTCCGTCCGCATCTTGCTCGCTATCGCAGCTGCAAGGCACCTGCCACTCCGCCAGATCGATGTTAAAAACGCGTTCCTATACGCGTTAGTGGACGCTGTGATTTACGTGGAGCAGCCACACACCTATGGCGAAGGTGACTCGCGGGTACGTCAGCTGCGCAAGTCACTGTACGGCATCAAGCAGGCTCCAAGGCTGTGGCAGCAGTACTTGCACAACATCCTGCTTGAAATCGGGTTCAAGCAGATGCCCCACGACCTAGGGATGTACCGCCGCGATTTTTGCGGGGAATACATCCTCCTCACGGTCTACGTCGACGACTTGCTCTACACGGGCTCAAACAACGAGCTGCTCGAACAGTTCGAGAAGGCTTTGGCGGGGCGCGTCGACATCACGTGCAACTACGAGGTGAAGCAGTTCCTAGGCCTCAACATCTCCTACGCGCCTGAAGCCATTCATCTGTCAGCAGCTAAGTACGCAGAGGAGTTAGGGAAGCGGTTCAAGATTTCACCCGCACCTCTCTCGACTCCCTACCGAACCCCCGGACCGAACCACAAACCTGACAACAAAGCCCTGTCCCCTGCTGGAATCCAGACTTACCAGCAGCAGCTGGGATGCCTCCTTTTCGCCTCTGTCACCTGCAGGCCAGACCTCTCCTACATCGCAAGTCAGCTTGCCCAGCACTCACGGAAACCAACGGCTGAGAATCACCTGGACCTGCAGCGCGCTTTGCAATTTTTCGTCTCAACGCCCAAGATTGGGCTGTGCTACTCAACTGCACCAACCCCATCCTTCAATCTCCTCGGTTATGTGGATGCCGATCATGCAGTAGATCCCGACAATCGACGGTCCAGGACCGGCTTCCTGTTCCGACTCGAACCAACGGGGCCAATCTCCTGGAACTCACAGAAGCAGGATCTAGTTGCCCTGTCGTCAGCCGAAGCAGAATTCATCGCAGCAACCGCAGCAGTTCGCGAAGGCCTCTACCTACAGGAACTCCTGCAGGAGGCGAAAATTCCAACTTCGCCAACCTTTCGACTTCACTGCGACAACCAGAGCGCGATTCGCATCGCGAACAAACCTGGTTTCGTCAATCGCACCAAGCACATTGCGCTGCGATATTTCTTCGTGAAGGACGAAGTGGACAAGGGCAAGGTCAACTTGACCTATTGCCCGACCGGTGACATGGCAGCAGACTTCCTCACGAAGCGACTGCCACGCCAGCAGTATCAGCACTGCTCCGAACTCAGCGGCGTGGTCAAGCAGGTCAAATCGAGCTACGGCCAGGAGTGAAGGGGGGTGTTACGAATAGTAACATGTAATTGTTACTGAGCACTCCTCACCGCAGCAAAGAGAAGCACGCAGTATCGAAGCAAGAAAGCGAACCGTCAGACAGTTGGAGTTTGACTCGAAGTGTCAGACAGTTGGGGCGCATCTGGACCGTCGGAAGCAGACGGCATCGGACAGCTGCAGGCAGGATGTTTTTGGCGGGAACAGTTACGAAACTGTACGCGCCGCACGGTTGGGAATGTGTTCGAATAAGGGAATGTACCCCTTAGAGTACATGGCTAGCTAGGTCGTTTCGTCTTCCCTGTACTCATATTTATACTTGCTGTATTTGCATGTTTTAATCATCTCAAGCATTTTACATTCACTCTGCTATTGAGGTCACGGGCCCACCAACTACATTTCCCTGTGTGCGAACCTTCCCGAGTAGATCCTGGTAAGCGATCATTCTCTGATCGTAGCACCTGCATGTCGGCACAGCGTTGTTAAGGGAGATCAAGGTGAAACAGATGAGCAAGGTGAGCAGCGGAAGCAGACCGGGGGGAGAAACCGACTTACCTGGCGCCGGAACGATGTCAAGTAACGGGAACCTGCCTAATCGGCGACGGTTTGACAATCGTGCGGTGGGATATGCAGGTAAGCTGGGGCTGCTAGAGTCCGCGGTAGTTAGGAACCTAGGTGATAGCCTAGGAAGCGACATAGTTGGGGGGGAGGTCGCGAGGCGGTTGCAGGTTGGGTCAGTTGGGCTGATGGGGGACACAATAAAGGACCTCGTCTCATCATCCAAATACTGTAGAACAGTTTTGTAGCTCAGCTGCAGCAGCTCCGTTACTGTGAACAAACCACTTTTGTCTTCAACCATACGTTGGCATATAAGCAATACGCAGGCAATCATACTGGGACTTGCGGCTAGTCAGAAAAGCGTATGAAACCGCTGCGCTGCAGCAGTACAGGTGCAGCTGAGAAATAATTAAATTATCATCACATGGCCGTCTCATAAGATGAGTAGAGCATGTGTGTGTAGTCTATTGTTCAAGTGGGTAGCCTGCATTCACCCATGCAGCTGTCCCACCAGTTACATTCAATACAGACTCTGATGGCAAGTCGAGTGCTACAGCCACTTGCATAGCTGCCCGCTTACTTGTGTTTCCTGCAGATGGAAGTGGGCAGATGTTTAAATGAGACAGCCTGCTCTGGAGAGACAAGAAAAAGGTAAAAACTCCTGAGGTGAGGAGAAGAAGCAACGCACCAGCATAGCAGACAAAGGCCAGAGGACCAGAACCAGCGTCTGCAGCATATGCCACCACATCCCCCATAGACACTGACACAGCTCTGGGAATGTGCCTGCAACAAAAAACTCATAGGTTCTCAATTACAGCAGTTAAAAACATAGCAAAAGCCAGTCCTCGGTTACTGTACGCCATCACACTCACTCTTCCCTCTTTCCATACTTCACATTCTCCATCAAACCTCACCCTCCCTCCCCCACCGCCTTCCCCTCCTCCCCCCGTTCAAAGACACACCAACAAAGAAGCCTTTACCATCATCTCCCCCTTCTTACCCTCTCTTGTAGTCCTCTGGCGCCCTCACGTCAATCAGCACAGGCACGGCGTCCGCATTCCCCTCCAGAGCCGCCTTGAGATCATCCACGCCTATCTCGCTTACAGCTGGAAAGGCGAGTGGTAGGGAAACGGGGATGGAGGGGGGCATATGGATTGATGGGCAGTGAGCGAAACGCATGTATGGACACCTTCTCACTTATGCGGAATGGCATGAGGGCAGATTGCACGCAGGTGAATTATTGTGTTGTGTGTGGGAATCCTAGAGTGAAACAATGCGCGAGCGCCATGCATTACCTGCCGGGGCGCTGTTATAGGCGGAAAGAACCTTCTCCATGTCGTCAGCCGATGGAAACAGCTGAGCTGGTGGGTCGAAGAGAAAAGGGAACAGGGAAACGAGAGAAGTCAGCATAAGCCGTTTCTCAAGTCGAACTGACAAGAAAAGTCTGGCACTGGTTAGCTCAAACTCTTAGTGAGATGTCGTAGAAATGGGAGGTACCAGCAGGGGCGTTGGGATCGGTGGGGATAGGTGAGCGCGAGGCGAAGGGATCGTCGGCCAGGCTGTCAACCGTGTCATCGTTGGCATCATAGGCGTCGTCAGGAGAAAACACCAGGTCGCTGCTCTCCTTCTCCGCCTGTTTCGCCATTCAGGAGTGACGAAAGCAGGGGATTGTGGAACGGAAGGGGCGAGAAAAAAGGTCAATACGTTAAGGTGGAGGATTGTGAACAACTGGACGAATAATTCATGGAAAGACGTAATATTGCTTCTCCGGAATTGGTGTCTTCTAGGTACTCACAGCACTGAGGACGTCTTCAAGAGAAATCATCCGCTCTGCTGGAGCAATTACACCTTCGCCGCTACTCCGTGCTCGAAGGTCACGCCTTCCGGTCGCCCTCAATGGTTTCAGGCAGCTGGTGACGGATACCGCGTTGACCTGACGGACAGAGCCGGTGAGGCATGGCGACGCAGTGAATGCTGCAGAGAGGACAGGGGCAGCGAGGGACGCCGCCATTGGTCTAGGCAAAAAGAGTAACGGCGAGGCGAAACAAGGAGAAGATATCCGTGAGAGTGGTTCAAATATCGTAAATGAAATTTGCTCTGGTACTAGAGTAGAGTGACTGATGGCGTTCCTAGGGATGGCGAGACGGAGTGCGTGTACTGCCAAACCAGTGAGGAGGATATGGTCCCCGAATCGTGTACATGTGGAAGACACGTGGCGCATTCATGTACCACACTAAGACATCTGAGGTGATGTTGAAATTAAAACAAGTTAGCTACACTTCTTGTGTAAGACGTAGAGACATCTTTGTTAGCAAAAGCAAAATGAGGGAGATGTAAGTATCAGTTTCAGCATCAGGAACGGCATGACTATTGAGATATGCGTGTTTAAATGGACACCTTTTTCATTGTCTAAAAAAATGATTTCCGTTATCTAGGCACCAAAAGTTACTGTTGTTGTGTATGGTAGGATTGCTTATACCTCTATACACAGATGCTTCTATCGAACTACTGGAAATGATGTCTTCTGGGGAACGGGGCTCTCAAGTTCACAGTACTCTGCCCGTAATTCTTCAGAGAATTCCATCTTGCAGCGGTGCTTAGCTTGGCGTGTATCAGTTTCTAAAAACGTCAGAGAGGGCTAACAACTTTTAGCCACAGCATTTCTTCCTCCAATCGACGTGCCCGTGTATCTCCTGGGCAACGCATCCTGTCTCCCCTACCGTCATCCATCCCAGGCTTCTGCAGGCTGCTTCAGCCATTCCACCATAGGTTCATTGCCTTCCACTAACTCACACCATCCCTAACCAAGTTGGAGGAACAGCTGACACACCTCAGTGCTTGCCCTTATTTCACCTAGACCTTAGCCTCGGTCGCAACAAATCCCGAGACTGGGGAGTGATTCTGATCCACGTCAGTTGGTGGGAGTTACCTTTTCGTTTATCTAACAGAACTACTATTTTGTAGTTTCTTGTTGACGCATCTCGTTTTGATCGACACGCTCGTGCTTCATAATCTGGAGATCTACTCGAGCGTCCATAGCTTCTGACCGATATCATATTCTATAAAGATGAATTCGGCAGGGGTTGTAGGTACGTGTATCTTTTTCTTTTCGTGGCCGTGCACGAAGTTGGACTAGACCGCTTTGTTGCTGAGTCGCTGGAGCCAGTATCAACCAACCACAGTACTCTGCGCAGCGTTTGCTTCTATTGGGTTAGTTGGTATTCTGGGTCATTATGAAGTCTCACTCGCTATGAGATTTTGTGACCCTTTGTGCGATCGATTATGTTTGAACGAGGTTTTCCGGGATGAACACGTTGAGTTGTCTGGTCTTTAGACTTCCGTGAACAATTAAATACTTGTCGAACGTTGTTGTTGATAGTTTTCCGGCAAGGAGTCCCCTATGGAGGCAGCGGGTCCAGTATGATCTTTCCGCGATGACGTTTCCTTGTTTTCCGACATTTCCCCTAAACCTGTCGCTTTCCGCCCAGTTCCCAGAAGCTTTCGGCTTTTGGATGAGCTGGACCGAGGGGAAAAGGGTATCGGCGATGGTTCTGTGAGCTACGGCATGGACGATGCGGACGACATCTACATGCGCTCATGGACGGGAACCGTGATCGGCCCTAACAACGTGAGGCGATCAGTTTGGGCTCTTGCCGTTCGTCTCTGTTGAAGTCTCTGCAGTGATTGCGCTCCTTACCCTTTCCGGAATCTCGCTTGCGCTTCTTTGGTGGAGTATTTCTGTGTGTGCTGCTTGGATGTGCTTGGATGACGGTGTTTTTTGGCTTGTTGCGCTTGCCTCGCGCTCTTATCATTGTCGTTTGTGTGGACTCGCAGTCAGTGCACGAGGGTCGCATCTACACAGTGAAGCTTTATTGTGATAAGGACTACCCAGAGCGGCCACCAACTGTGCGCTTCCACTCACGCATCAACATGCATTGTGTCAACCAGGAAACGGGTGTGGTAAGTGCACTGCAAATTCGGAGTCACTGACCCATGTCCAATCCTTTGCTTCTTGGCAAACAACGTGGTTTCCTTGTGGTACCATAGCATTAAGTAGCTTTTGACTCTGGTATTGTATGTGTGCACATAATGAGGTTTGTTCCGTTGGTCACCTTTGCTCTGTCTGTCTCACAGGTGGAGCCAAAGCACTTCCCGCTGTTGGCACAGTGGCGTCGAGAGCACACCATGGAAACCATTTTGACTGAGCTGCGCCGTGAGATGGCATCGGGTCACAACCGCAAGATACAGCAGCCTCCGGAAGGATCAACCTTCTGATTGTTCTGCTTGGTGAATGAAATGTCTGTTGGCAGTTCTTCGTCCTTTCCTCAAAGCCTGAGTGTGACTGTTGGTTTCTTTGACTGTATGGGTTTATGTGCTTGTCTGCTGTTGCGCAAGAAAAGTCAATTGTATGTTACTCATGCGTGCAGGTTGGAAATCTGCAGCTGTATTTTCATGGAGCAGTGTGAGGTTGGATGGCATGAATTGGACTTGTGACCATTTGCTGATTTGTCCATGCTGTTATGGTGTTATGGTGCGTGGCAATTCAATTTGTTGAATGTCTGACAATGCAAAGAACTACCATGACAGTAAGGGAAGTGAGTTACGGCGCAGCATCGTGTGTTCACTATTTTATATTTCGGTTTTAAATTTCAGCTGACAGTTGCTTCACCCTAGACAAACAAGAGGTGGTAGCAGATTGTCTTGCTCATGCAGATTGCCTCCCGCTCGAAGTACCATGTAGATCGCAGCTTTAACACAGAAACACACCGTGCTCACTGTAAGCTGACTGCAGTACTTCTTACCCAGCATGCGCTTCTGTCTCCTCTCCACCAGTGCATCCCCTGCTGCCTCATGTACCGGTACTTCACGGAACCCCATACAGGAGTGAAGCCTCTGTTGCTCTGCGCTGCGCTCTATTGTTCTTTGGCGTGCTCTGCTCTGCTCTACCCCGCTATGCTCCCATGCCATGCCTCTCTTGCTGCTGTGCACCCAGCGCTGGTTTTCATCATCTAATGGTACTTTTTCTGCCCTTTCAAATGCTTCACCCATCACATGGCCCCTCCCCCCCTCACACTCAAAACAGTCGCAGCCTAAACCCTTGTTCATCTCTACCATCAACGTTTGCGCATTTCGTTCACATTAGACACTTTAACCGAGCAGTAAGTTGCGCGCTGGTTGAGAGAATGAATGCCAAACTATTAGTAACTACCAGCCATAGTAAGACTTTAGGTTGTAACCCAGATACCGTAACTTCAGCACCGTACTACTCAGCAGCCTGCTTTGTCACAATCTCTCTCAAAGCCTCCAAATAGTCTTTCTTCTCCTCCGCAGAAATGTCGTCACCCAACGCACAGTCGCCCACTCCCCACTCTGCATCACACAGCAACCAAACCAAGGCACCAAGCACAGTAGAGACACCGCGCTCGCACCCAAACCAATGAAGCACACAAGGCAGACAAGGCACACAAGGCACAAGAGCGGCGGCGAGAATGGTGGTACTGCTGATGCGCCCCATGCCATGTGCCAGCTGCCACAGCCATGCTCATACTGAACCCGGCGTTGTTATTGTGGCATGTCATGGTGCCATGGCATGGCATGGTGCCTGCTACTCAGTGAACGTCATAATATACCATGCCCTATCATGACCTGCCGTGTCATAGCACGCCACACCATACCATGTCATGCCAGACCATGCCAAATCAGACCTGCCAAATCATACCATGTCATGCCAGACCATGCTAAATCAAACCTGCCAAACCATGCCATGTCATGCCATACCATGCCACATCAACAGCAAGAGGAGGGTGTGAGGGCAAATCAGAACATACCAGCGCCGCGCAGGCAGTACTTGTTCTCAATCTCTTGCCGGTTCCTGCACACCACCAGCACCCAACACAACACAGGCACGCACTTAGGGTGCAAAATTCGTACCCTGAGAATGCGCAGAGCACAGAACCCACAGAAACACGAAGACTACAGAATGCAAGAACAGCTCCTTGCACCACAGCAGGGAGCAATCCCAGCACAGCACAGAGCAGTCTCAGAAACCCTGCTCTTTCCCTCTTCCAGTGTCTTCCATTTTCTGCCCCCACCTTGCCTCATCCAAGCGCCAACTCATCCTCTATACCCCTCCTTCCAACCCAATCCCCTCAGCCTCATTCTCCCCTCCCCACTCGTCTCCCTCAACTCTACATTGCACTGCATGCGCTCCACGTGGGCCAACCTTGCCCCATCCAGCCACACCCGGCCCAACCCAGCTCCACCGCACCCTACCGCACCGCACGGCACTCACTTCTCGCGGTTCTCCTCGCTCTGCTTGAGCAGCTGCTTGAGAATGGGCGAGCTGAGGAAGTTGCTGTCCAGCTGCTCGTACCGCTCCCGCTCACTCAGCGCTGCTCAGGGGAACACCGGGGTTGGTAATGAGGGGGAAAGGGCAGGCGGACGACAAGCCATCTCAAGAGTTGTGTGTGCTCTTCTCAAGCGGCGAGCTGAGGAAGTTGCTGTCCAGCTGCTCGTACCGCTCCTGCTCACTCAGCGCTGCTTCGAGTAATGGCGGGGAGATGCGGGGAGAACGTGGGGAAACGGCAGGGAAAAGGCCCGAACGACGGAGGGGAAAGGGGGGAAGAGGGGACGGGGTAGCAGTGCTAAGGGATGCAGCAGGGGCGAGAAGGAGACTTGGGGAGGGCGGAGACGACTTCTGAGACGGCTTGAAAGGTGAGAGTCCGACTTGTGCAGCGTAGTTTTAAGTCGACTCAAAACTGGGCCCAAGCAAGATGCAGAGAATGCAGAGAACGGGCTCAAGACAGGGAGAGTGTGATGGTGATATGGGCAGGGAGGAAGAAGGATTCGAGGAGATATAGAGAGGCGGAAGCAGGGGGAGGTAGAGGGAGGAGGCATGTAGGGAGGTAGAGAGAGAAAGGGAGGTAGAAGGAGGAGGCAAGGGGGAGTGCGGCTGGGATGGCAGAGGTAAAGGGGCTGAGTGAGAGTAATGGAGAGTGTGTGTTGTCTTACCAACGGCGGGCTGTGGGAGAACAAGGGCCGCGGAGGGCAGCAGGACGAGAGCTGCCGCTGCTGCTGCCGTGAGGGAGCGGGCGAGCGGGTGGCATGCAGCAGAGGCGGGGGCGGAGGCGGAGGAGGAGGAGGGGGAGGAGGACGAGGGGTTGGTGGAAGCACGGACGTGGAGGGAGTAAGGTGTTCTGTAGAAGACACGTGGATGGATAGGGGAAGCGGGAGGGGGAGGGAGAGGGAGAGAGAGAGGGGACGTGAGAGGGAGAGGGATAACAATGGAGGTCGATATTGTGCACTGGTGGTACGGCACTGGAAGGATAGGACAGGAAGCAGGTTCGGCGTAGAGTAGCGTGCAAGTGCTGTCTACACAAGCTTGAGAATAAATCAGCAGTTCAGTCAGTCAGCCAGTCAGAGAGTTGGCCAGAGTCAGTCAGTCAGCCCGCAGGCACATGGTTCCCTGACAGACCCTCCATGCATGCAGGCGCGCCTCACTGCGAATCAAAATGCGACGCAGCATGTGCGACGCAAATTCTGCGATTTTGTTCAGATTGTGAAGTGGATTTCACATGGTGTGTGGGAGCACATCGTTTGCTTTCTGGTTTTCTTCCAAACACTGCGCGCGGCGCACGGCAAACGGCGAACGGCCATGTTCACCGCGTCGCAATCGAATCGCATCCCAATCGCATCACGTCGCATCCCAATAGCATCGCACGCACCTCTTGGTAGAATGACGGCGCGCTTTAACCGAGGCGCCGGCGAGCGGCAGGGCCGCCGTTGACGGCGCTACGCAAAGCGAGGCCACTGCGGAGAGCGCTGTGAACGGGATGCAGGCATCGTGTGGGAGAGGGAGTGAGAGGGCGAGAGAGAGGAGAAAGCGGGAAGAGGGAAAGGACGAGGGGAGGAGGTATGGGAGAGTATATGACGGCGCCCGAGCAAGCTTGACCGCAGCGATGAAGAAAAGCGGGACAAGAATTTTCGGAGGGGAAATGCGGAAGGAAGAAGGTGGAGGAACGGAGGGACAGCAGATTATAGACCTAGTGGGCGTGCTCGTATAGCAGCCGTCCGATGGCGGCCGACGTGTGCAGCTGCAGAGATTATACAATATTTGGACGCTTGATCTTGAACCAGGCCACAGAAGAAAGATCAATACGGGGTCGGAACGGACCTGATTGGGCCATGGTCAAAATGCGTCTGGTGTGGCTTGCTCGCTGCCAAACTCGACCTTTCTTGAGGTTTTGAAGCACGGTGATGTGCAAATTCGCGGCTTGGAGCAGACAGAGAGATCGCGAGCTGGAATCGTGGCTCTTGACAGACCGAAGAACAGTCCGAGCTACTGCGTTAATAGCGCACTCCAGAGGAGTAGGGCGCAGCAGGCGCAGGCGGACACGTTTCGGCTGGGATCACAGGGAAGGGAGAGCGCTCAGCAGCACTAGCTACGATAGTCGCATGGAGCAGATAGTGCAGCGGAGTGAAGGGGGGGAATGGGTGGAAGCTTTTGTCAACTAGAGTGGCTGAATTCTTGGACATTGTGAACACGGAGAGAAGGACACGTGCGTTCCGTGCTGATTCGGATTCCCTGCACAGTCCAATAGGCTTGCAGCAGGTCCGAAGCACGAAATGTACACGTGGATGCATCGAGAACCTCCGCGGGATACTTTGAAGGGCATACGCGGTGCAGAGTAAGGCGTTTGAAGGGCTCCCTGGTCAATGAATTTAGAACTGATTCGTCGTAAGATGCGAGTGTACCACTTGTACTTCAGACTACAGTGAAATCCCCCTTTGTGCGCCACGTCTCACACGTTCCCTCCACACACACAAATTCGACTCCACGTCAATCGCACCCGTCTGTCTGTCAGCCATTTCACATTCCGCAATTTGAATTTGCCACTGCTTGGTAGATAAAGCACGCTTTTCCCGCTTGCGGCACGATCGCCGCCACATCGCCTCGCCTCAGGAGCGCGGCTGTTTCTCCCAACTGTCTTTTTTCGCGTCCCGCTTTGCGGAACAATGTATCTCGCCCCGTAGCCGTCTCTCGCTTTCCTTGTCGCATCGCTTTGCCACCTTCACAAACCAGCTCCTTAGTCTCCGCGTCGCAGCCATGGCTCTGGCGACAGTTTACGCTAGCTCAGTCGTCTCGTCGCCACTGTCGCGCAGCAAGGGGGCTCGCTACTCGAAGGGCTTGATACAGGCTCCCAACGCTATTTCCGTCGCACGAAACCCGCGAAACCCACGAGACTCTGTGACGACGCGGGTAGCAGAAGCCGGAGTCGCGGCCGCCGCGTCCCTCTCAAACTGGCGGTTTCGCGGAACCGAGCCGCGGTTATTAGGCGCCCATCGCGCCGCACGAATTGGCAGGTTTGAGCGAGCCGTCGCCACAGCCACCGCCGCCGCCGCCGCAGGAGAGATGACAAGACCAGGAGCAGGAGAATACGCAGCTGCCATGCCAGGGGATATCGCGCGAAGAAGAGGAGTTGGCCCTGCAGCAGAGTCAGCAGGAGAGGATTTGGAAGGGGGAGCAGGACAGCAAGCAGAGGGGAGAGGAAGAGAGGTGGGAGGTTATAGGCGCGGATACGGTGGCGGGCATGGAGAAGGTTTTAAGAGAGGGTATTCCCGTCGCATGGTGATGGCTTTGGGGGTTTCAGCTGGTTTGGCGGCAGGTATGGGACTGATCCCACAATCCGCAGCCACAGCCGCAGCCGCAGAAGCAGGTGTGGGCGAGGGGGAGGGCGTATCTGTGGGTCAACGGATTCTCCGCGGTCTGGGGTTTGGGGATGCTGACGTGTACTACCCCAGGTAAGGATCTTTAACCCATTTTCCACCCAAATGCTCCTCCTACCTTCCATGACGTGCCATCCCATGCCAACTCATGCCACATTTTTTCACCCATGTGGTGTGCGCACAGGGTGTTTGAGGCCACAATGTGACCCCAATCCACCCCAAGTCTGCCATACCGTTTGTGTGGTGTCCTTTCAGGGTGTTTGAGGGCGAGTGGGAGTGCCTATCGCAGCTGATAGCCGGGCGGTGGAGACGCCCCAGGGCGAGCAGGCAGCAGACAGCCGGGAACTGGCGCAGGCACGGCGGGACATCGTCGTTGCCCCCATGCCTGTGGTGGTGTTCGCACAGGCAGCTCAAGGGCCCCATGCCACCCCATTCCACCTCTTTCCACCCCATTCCACACCCTATGCCTTCCCATTCCACCCCTGCCCCCCACATGTCCCCACGCCTGTGCTGCCAACCCATGCACAGGGTGTTTGAGGGCGAGTGGGAGTGCCTATCGCAGCTGATAGCGGTGGAGACGCCCCAAGGCGAGCAGGCAGCGGACAGCCGCGCAGTGGCACAGGCACGGCGGGACATCGGGGTCACACTGCCGTACCGCGCCCGCTTCTTTGACTTCAATGGCAACGTTGTGGGGGACCGGGCTTACACCACCACTGTGAGTGCGTGCTGAGATTGGCTGTCAGGGACACGGCTTCGCATGATGCGGGAGTCGCACTGCTGTACCGCGCACGCTTCTTTGACTTCAATGGCAACGTTGTTGGGGGCAGGGCGCACACCACTAACGTGCGTGCGGCATTTTTGAGAATGCAACATATAATAGGAGTTATGCTGGTGCTGCCTCAACCTGCCACCCTCCCTGGAGGAGTTATGCTGGTGCTGGAAGGCTGTCTTAACACTTTTCTCAACACTCAGAGTATGAGTCGTTGTGTTGTGGTTGCCATCTCTCCCTTCCACGTCCCTTCCTTCCCATGTCCAATCCTCTTCCTCCCCTACAACCTGCCACCCTCCCTCCCTCCCTTGTCAACCTTCTTTTTGTTTTCGTCGTGGTGTTTCGGCATTGTGGTGTGGCGGTGCACTTGGCATGGCATGGCATGGCATGGCATGGCGTGGCATGGCATGGCGTGGCATGGCATGGCATGGCATGGCATGGCGTGGCATGGCATGGCGTGGCGTGGCATGGCATGGCATGGCATGGCGTGGCGTGGCATGGCATGGCATGGCATGGCGTGGCATGGCATGGCATGGCATGGCATGGCATGGCATCGCATGGCATGGCATGGCATGGCATGGCATGGCATGGTATGGCATGGCATGGCATGGTATGGTATCGCATGGGCATGGGCGAGGGAGCAACAGTCGCTGGTGGAGGCAACGATGGGCAAGGGAGTGGTGGCGGATGCTGATTGGTCGCCCTCCAGACCCAACCAGCTCACCCTCACTCTCAAGGGAGGCTACAAGGTCCATTCGAGTTGGTCAATCACTCACTCACTCACTCACTCACTCACACACTCACTCACTCCCTGATTTCTGCTTGATACAGCCAGCCATAAGGGTGCGTCACATACTCTTCACAAGGATCCGTCTGGTTGCAGGCCGGCTGTTCTTGAGCTTGCATCAACCCTCCTTTCCACCTCTACACATGCTGTGCCATGGGGATATGATGGAGGGTGGCATGACTGCATGGTGGCATGACTGCATGGTGGCATGACTGCATGGTGGCATGACTGCATAATAACCATTGGCATGGTGGCTTGATGGCATACCACCTTGCTACCACCAGGTGCAAAGTGTAATCACGCGGCGATCATATGAGATGTCAGCTCCCAACCAGTTTGACGTGTTTGAGTACTCACAGCAGGTACTTCTCACACCTAGTGCTCAGAGCAGGTAGTGCTTGCAGGGGACCGATGAAAGGGACTGGTAAAGGGATCCACGGTGATGGGGTGGAAAGAGGGGGGAGAGCTAGGGGAGGTGCAGAGAAGGGGGATGTTGATGCAGCACTGATGTCTATGATCCTAGCCTGTGCACTGTCGACCCTCCCACCATTCCTTTCCCGGTCTGCTGCAACTTGGTCCTGTCAGGCGCACCACCTCTGGACTCATGCTACTCATTCCCCACACACCCTTTTGAGGCACCACACACTCGTCCTTTCAAAAGACCCCTACAGAGTGAAGTGAAAACTTGTTGTGATTCATGCTACCCCCACACCACACCCTCCTGTGCCACACCTCATCCACACTCCAAATTGTCAACCAGGTGTTTGATAACCTGAGTGTCTTGGACGGCCCTCCTTCTGTTAAGGTACGTTCAGATTTTCCTATTTTCTTCTTTTTTCCCCGTTTTATATGTATTCGTTCTACTCCACATTCGTTTTATTTACTTCCCTGAAGCACGAATCAGAAGGAACTGCCTCAAGCAAAGCCGTAGCCGTGAAGAATCTCCAACGCCCACCTGTTTTCCAGCCACAACTGCTCGTATAGTCTCTGTGAAGCAGACTCGGCCACTGTTTAGATTCCGCCTTGGGTAATGCTTCACTTCACAGCGCTAAGTTTTGCCCCTGCTACCTCCCCATCCCATCCCACCCCACCTTATCCCATCCCATCCCATCCATCCCTAACCCATCCCAACTCGTTACATGCCATGCCATTCCACATCATGTGATACCATGCCATGCCGACAACATGCATCACATCAACCCACAGGCATCCAGCAATCTGACGCGGTATCAGTGGGACGAGGCGGACAAGGCAACAGGGCAAGTGAAGGAGATCTATGTCAGTCGATCCACATTTCCTTGCACTCTTTTAACCTCTTGCTCTCTCTCACACAATTTGCACGCTTCACTTGCTTTCCCTTCCCCACTAAACCCTGCACTCTCCATTGCTCACCTCACATCACACACATCGTTCTTCAATATGCTTCACAACCGTATGCCCCATCTCCCCACCACCCTACCTTCCTCCTCTGAAAACTCTATTAGTACTCTCTTATGAGCTGCTCGTACCACACTGTCGCTCACCATTCTCATTCTCATCCACGTTTACATATAGCCCGGCACATTTTGCTCTAGACTTCAGACCCCAGAACCAAAACCAGAATGAAACCTTCACTTCTTCTCCCAACCTACAGGCGTTTCAGCGGGTGTCAATGTTCCCAGTGGTGGGCGGGGTGGCAGGGGAGGGCCAGTCGCGGCTCTCTGCAGCAGATGTCATCTCACTGGGCTTTGGTGAGAAGCCCGTTACTGTCTACAAGTACCTGCTGCGCCTCACACGCGTCTAGAGTGTAGGGTAGGGTGCGCGCCTAGACCCATGGATGGATGGAGGTGTACCCGTTAGAGCGATAGCAAGTCTGGCTCTCTGGTTTGCGCTGCATGCTGTGATGCCATGTGACTCGCATACGGGTTGTACAAGTTCTGGTGCAGCTTCTTTTGTTGTCAGCTGGGATGCTTATTGCGAGTCGGTTGTGAGGGAAAGTTTCCCACTATGTAGTGCGCATAATGCAAACCCACACAAGAACAGGCAGCAAAAGGAAAACGTGAATACAAATTTCATATGAGCACAACACTAGGGTCATGCCAAGGTCAAGGAAAACAAGAATGCAAGATACTTTTCTATCTACCCTAAACGTCCTTACATCAGCCTCCTTCCGTAACAAAACGTCCTCAGAACTCCATCAAGCTACTGCGATGGTCCCTGATCCTCCCTCTCCCTCCTGGCCTCACTACCAGCACAGGACACCCGCTCTCAACCCCTCCATTCCCACGCACCCCCACTCCTCCCAACCCTCCCCGCGCAGCAGCAGCAGCAGCTACGGGAGGAGCAGGAGAGGTGTGGGGTTCGGAAGCAAAGGCAGCAGCGCCACCAGCTGAGTCAGCGAGATGGCCTGAGAGAATGAGGAGGTGGGCATGCACTGCGTGCACGCGACACAGCACCGCCGCACAGGGGTCCATGGCCTGATGGGCGCAAGAGGAGGAGTGGAAGAGTATGCGGAGAGAAAGAAAGAGAGAGAATGACGAGCACGCGCTGCATGCACACGACACCGCACCGCTTCACAAGGGTCCATGGCCTGATGGGCGGGGAGTTGGTAGAGAAAAGGAAGAGCTGTGGGCATGTTGAAGGACCTACCACAAGGAATTTAGTTTAGAAATGATGGGCGGGGAGTTGTGATTCATATCTCCGTTCAGAGGCGCCTGGCTGGCCCTTGACATTCCTATAATATGATGATGGCCCATGATCAGCAAGTGCCTTGTAACTCCTTCGTTCTGATTCCTTGACTCTTGTCCCCTAATCTAACCCAATGTTTTTGGTCGACTCATAAATTTCATCCATCCCTACCCCACTATCATCTCCAACCTCCCAACCACCAGCAACCATTCCATTTATTTATCCATCCCCAAATGCATTGTTCCAGCCTATACCATCACATGTGCCCCACCCGAGTCATGTCAACCGCCCCTCCTTATGCTTCTCCTCCTCCCTCTCCTCTCTCCCTTGTCCCAGCTCCCAACTCCCCTCCCCTTTTCCCGCTCCCCACCCATCGCTGCCTTCCCTAGCCTCCCTCCCAACTTCCCTCATGCTTTCTCCCCCTCCCCCCTTCTCACCTCGACCACGTGGGTGTCACATGCGACGCCCATCTGCTCCGCCCATGCGTGCTCAATACACTGAGAGGGTGGTGCCCAAACATTCTCCACTACTAACCAACCAACCCCCTTCTCCCTCACGCCTTCTCCCCCTCCCCTCCTCACCTCAACCACGGCAGTGTCACATGCGACGCCCATCTGCTCCGCCTCCCGAGCGAACCGCTCCAACCAGCGCGCCACCTGGGGATAGGTCCATGCCATGCCATGCCATGCCATGCCAAGAGAGTTGTCATCAAAACACACATGGGTAAGGGACAGGAACGAGGAATCACAAACATACATAACCCAGGTTGTTTCAATGGCGCTACCGAAACCATATACACCCCACCACCCTACCATCCCACCGCTCCATCATCTCACCACCCCGCATCCCCCTCGCATACACACCCATTCCAAATTTCCCCCATAACTTCCCATACCCTATCGCTCTCTTCAACAGCCATTATTCGTTACTATCCCTACCTTGACGTCCATGTGTTGCTGCTGCTGCTGCCTCATCGGCCGTCCCAGTCTACGCCCATGCGCCCTCACCGACCCTCCGCTTCCGCCGCACCACGCGCCACCCGCGGCGCCGTACGCGTCCGCCCCGCGAAACCTGCTGGCCCAGTCGTCGCTCCCCGTGCCCGCATTCGCCGCGACGGCGCGCTTCTCGCCGCTTTTCACGGCGCCGAAACCGCCAGGAAAGCAGTGCACAGCGGGGAGAGATACGCCATGCCTGTTGTCGACGCTACCGCTGCCTTCTGAACCTCCTTCCATGCGACTCCACAAAGCTGCAGACGCTGCTTTCGCCTTTTGATCACCCGTACCAGCAACAGTGGCGCCATCCAAACGCGCGGCTGCTGCTGCGCCTCCCGACGATTCGAACGCGCTTTCCAGCATCAGCGCCGCCGCGACCGCCGCTTTGCGCATCTCCGCCGACTCCGGTGCGGCGGAGGCGGAGCTTCCGCTCAAGCGCAACCCGTCCACGCTCCGCCGCCGCACATGCCGCAGAGGCTCCGCGCCAGTGCCTCCGCCGATGCCGGCGCCGGCACCGCTTTCGCTGAGCCGTCCAATAGGAGCGCGAGACATCTGCCACGGCGTGAGAGCAACCGGCGCGCCTGGAGCGGCGGCGGCGGCGGGGTCGAGAAAGCACGACGCGAGGAGAGCGGCGGCGCGGTCGGTGGAAGCGCCGAAGGAAGCGGACGACGAGCGAGCGGCATGATACGATTCGGATGGCCCCGAAAAAGCGGAAGGCCATGCGGAAACGGGTTGGAAATCATGTTGACGCTTTCGTGAATATCGACCGTTGGTGGGTTGAGTGACGGCGGCGGCTGTTGCGGTGTGATCCTTGACGTTGCCTCGTCGTGCGAATGACGATGCGCGAGGCGACGACGGCAGGCAAGTCGGCGAGGACGCAGGCAAGGAGTCGGATGGCACTGGTGGAATGAGATGAAACGAGATGAGACCAGACTAGATTAGACGACACGAGATGGGAGTTGTGAATCTGAATCTGGACGGTGAGGAGGCGAGAGGTAACGGGAACCAAACGGTAACAGACACGAGAACGGTAACGGGAACGCCGGTAACGGTTTGGTAACGGAAAACGCTGACGGTCATGAGGAGCTTACGGTGGCGAGGTGTCTTGACGTGGAGGAGAAAGAGGTGGTCCGTGAGCGGGTCCGCAATTCGCTGCAGCGCGTAGTGAACGGCCATGTCGCTACCGTCGCTGCCGTCCACTGCGACGACTATGCGACGCATCGTACGACTGCTGTCGAGCCGTTCCTCCTCCACATCGATCGCAGGGTCAATCGCAAGCCCGTGCTCGCAGTTGTCCCCTTCCATTTGTTTCTGCCTGGTTTATTCTTCCTGGTATGATTTTCCTGACTTTCGTAAGTGAATTCCTTCGTTACTATTTTGTTTTTTAGGCGTCACGACAGTGGATGTTTTCTGGTCCAGTGTTGTCAAGGAAGCAGTGCAGGAGCGTCTAAAACGTCGTGTGGGACACACAAAGGAAGCAGCGCAGGAGCCTCTGAAACGAAAGAGCCGCCTGGTATTGCAGAAGCTGCGTAATATCAAAACCGAGTTATTAGCTATACCAGCTTGCGAAACCAAGAGAGTACGAAGAATGACGGGACAGGGGATGAGTTGAGACAACTGAGTTGCTGGTTTTGAGCATCCGGCAGGAACTTGGTTCAAGCACTCTCTTGCTGGAAGAACGTGGGGAAGGGAGGAGAGAATGGAGTTAGCTCGAGTGACGTGACGAGGCAATACAGAGCGTACGTGTACGAGGAGGATGTGTGGGTGGGTGGGTGGGTCATGGCTGGCTGGCAGACGTGTGAGCGGTATGATGTGGAATGGTGGTGGGGTGGGAAGGGAAGGAGGGGAGGGCTGGAGCTGTAGGTGGTGAGGTGAGGAGAGATGACAGAGGGTGAAGGATTTGATGGGGTAGGTGTGAGGTGATGATGACGGTGATGATGTGCGGTGCGGTGCGGAACAAGCTGTCTCTCAGGTTGAGGTGGGTGGGGTGGGATAAAATGAGTTGGGGTGGGGTAGGTGTGAGTGCGACAAAGACGTGACGTGCTGTTGGGTTTGGTGGTGGTGATGGCGAGGTGATGTGTTGGATGGAATTGCTGCAAGTTTGCTTGATGAAACCGAAGACTTCCTGCGGGAGGTGGAAGTGACAGGTTGTTACGTTGCAGTTCACGCATCCATCCAGTGAACTGTCTGTCTTCGATGACGCGCTGCTGCCGCCAGGAGGACTTGACCCAGGTGTCATGTCATGTGTACCTGCTGAGCGTACCCACCAGGCACCACCACCCGCCAGCTACGTTCCGCCATTCATCCAGCAGAGAAGAAACCCGTTCGCTTCTCAAGTGACGTGGATTTTGTTGCCCTCGAGATTGAAGCGCGTGGAATGGACACGCGGCGGGGAAGAAACGGGTCACAGGTCTGGTCTGCCCGTTCATTTCAACTGCAGCATCCATCGGTCCCCTGGCTGTCTGCTTCGTTGCCGCGGGCCAGCCAACACGATTAGGGCGTGTAAGATCCCCGTGCACACAGACTCGGCCATCAAAATTAGGTGGCCGTAGCGAAAGTAACCATTTCGTGATCGGTTTGCGAATCTCGTCGATTTCGGCCATCAAAATTGTGATTTGATGGCCGAAAAACCCAGTCGACTCTTTTCCGACGCGTGGTCGACTTCAAATCGGCCATGCTGTCGACAACAGCTGGCCACAGTAAAAAACGAAGTCGCATACGCTGCTATAGTGAAATTGCGACGTCGCATACATGTATGCGACGTCGTCGCACTAAGTCGGAAAAAAAGACAAACCGAAATCTTCCACCTCTGTTATTTCGGCCAGCAAATCCGTGTCATATTTGGAGGCCACATTGAGGTGGCCGAAAATTTGTCGGCCTGGTGACGACTCATCCGTCGACCTTCGCGAAAGCTTTGTCGACCAAAATGGTCGACAAAATTCAGCCAAAACGTGTGCACGGGGATCTTACACGCCCTTACCCGACCTTACCCGACTCGACCCGAACCGACCTCTCAGAAGGGCGGATCCTTGGTTCGATCGCGAAAGACAAACGCCAGACCAGGTGGTGGGGGATGAACATGCTGACAGCGCGTGCGTGCGGCCCAATCAATGCGCGTAAAAAACGGCAGCAGTCCTCGTGTGTTCCATATCATGCTCCAGCACACTCCGTTCAAAACCAATCAGGAGCGAGTGAATGTCGGGTACTCCACAGAAGCTGGCTCTGACACGGTCCAATCGAATGAGGTTGGTGAGAAGTGATCAGGGTCGAGTTCTGGGCTGTGAGACAAACACGACTCCTCTTTATGATGTATGATTTCGACGCTATAACACTTGCGGCTATACAATATATTTACAACGAACTAAGAGCCAACGAATTCTGGTGTTCAACTTGTTGATAAACTAGACCAGATGTCTAGAGCTGAGTACCTGCCTGTGAATAATGACAAATATATATAACTGATAAAGAATATTACCAAGTACAGAGTTTCACATCTGGCTGTTTCCTGATTAGGCCCGAACAAATACCCTTACTTCCCCCCTGTCCCCTCTGCTGATTCTGAAGTCGCCATCAAGATAGGTGGTTCTGAAGTCTCCACTACGAACCTCAGGTGGTGGGCGGAGGAAAGCCGGCAACTGGGGAACAGTAAATGGCGGAGGAAATGAGCCACTGGGCCTCACTGCAGTGCTCTCAAAAATAATGCGGATAGATGAAGGTCCTGAAGGAGGAGGCAGGTGAGGGAGGGGAGAGAGTTTTGCCAAGGAAAGAGTAAACAACAGGGTGGATTTCTGACACGGCCAACACATTAGAGTGTGCGATCTTCCAGTCTGGAAGTCAAGCTTTCCCATACATACACGCCGTTAGATGGGCAGTGTACGAATAAACAGAGATATGAAATAGCATAACAGGACTCTGTCCGTGCACATTTTTAACCATGCAGCAAGGCACCCACCCGTAAGTTGAAACGTATGCTGTAGTGACGCAGTGGCCTCCAGTGCAGGCAGTGGCCAAGGCGCACTGACTCTGAGCTCCACAATGTTGTCAAGCTCCTTTGCAGTCACATCCACACGCTGTGTCACCTGATATACATGCCAGCATACACACGTCACACCAGAAGAAAACGAAGGGGAGAGAGATAATGGAGCGGCACACTGTTGTTTAGAAACCAACAGGCAGATTAAAACTTCCCACCTAAACATTGAATAACAAGTCTCCCACCTCGCCTCTCCAGCTTGTGCATACCCTCAAAACCCCACAGACCATCTCTTCCCATTCTTCCCCAGTACCCCCACTCAACACACCTGTCCAATAGAGACTGGCCCTCCAGCAGGCGGGCCAGGCCGGAGTCCCCCAAGGCTGCCTGACACGAACCCACTGCTGTACACAAGCCGCCACGTGCCATCCAGCATAGCTAGATCGCGGCTCACCCCCCGGCTGATGCCCCCCACGCCCGCGCCCACGTCCGTCCCGCCTGTCAGCGCCTTCCCCTCCGCGCGCGCCCTGATTGCCAGTCCGCCGATGTGGTCCTCCTCTACCGGCGGCGGCGGGGAGAAATCGAGGGGAGCGGCGGCGAGCTCAAGGAGGGCCACGGCAGCTTCGACCTCCTTTGCCTGCTGCTGTGACGCCGCTATTCCGCGATCCAAGGGTGCCACGAGACGCTGAAGGATGAGGGGGAAGGGAGAATGAGTGATCGAGAGAGAGAGTGCGTGGGTTTGTGTGAGAGAGGAGAGAGGGGGGGAGGGGAGGGAGGGAGGGAGGGAGGGAGGGAGAGAGAGAGAGAGAGAGAGAGAGAGAGAGAGGGGGGGGGGGGGGGGGGGGGGTACGTCGAGCGAGAGGACGATAGGGAAGTGGTAAGGAAAGGGAAAAAGAACTCGGGTGTGGGAAAGCGAACGGAGTATGTGCAGGATGGACGTCAAGCAATTCAGCGGCGCAGAAATCCAACGTTCCAGTGCTCCCACAAATGTAACGAATCATATCTCGAATCCATACCAAGATGTTGTCTTTGAGCTTCTCCACTTCAGACACTGCGCCTCCATCGGCGCTTGCCTCTTGACCCGCTGCTACCGCGGCCACAGATAGTCGTGAGCATAATCTCGCTGAACCAGTAAAGGAGGGTAAATTCCACGCGCCTCCACTCGCAAGACGACGCGATGGAGTAGACAAATTCACACGGTCGCGGGATCGCACGCTTGCAAGAGAGACTTGAGAGTCGTGTCGGCATCCTCCTGAAACGAGTGAGTGTAGCCCGCGAGCAGCTGGAAGAGACAGCACAGCGTTGGTCGCAGACGCCATCGCTATTGCGAGGAGGAAAGAACAACACAAGTAATCGAAGGTTCAAGCAGGCAATAAGATGCAAGCTACTCTTCTTGTGAGCGACACGGCTACTTATGACTACTAGAGGACGAAGCTTGGCAAGCCAGCGCCCCTGCGTGTCCTGCAGAGTCCACGACAGATTCCAGAAGTCTTGGAAGAAACTTGTTCGGAAACACGTCGACACGAGCGTGGCGGTTGATTGGCTTGCCGTGAAGTATCTCGCGACACTTTGGGGGGAACAAAAATAAAGCAAAGCTACACCACTTTCATGATCATGTGTGCTTACAGAATTTGTTGACCTTAGAGTTGCCTCATCATGTGTGCTTAAAAAATTTGTTGACCTTGTAGTTGCCTCAAATGTTTTCCATAAGAAATAATGATACATTGGTCTTTACATTGCCACTCAGGCTTACACTATATTTCAAAACTGCATAAAGGGGTATTGAGGTGCATTTGGAACCTCAAAATTGGGTAGATAATACGGTGACTGAAACGGGAGCAACACCTTGAGAGGGTTGCCACTTGGAGGCGGGCCTAGCCACGCACTTGCATTGATGAAATCATAACTGATGAAAGGTGCAGCTTCATTGTCATCAAGATGGTGGCTCCACGGAAACCAAGCAGTAGAATTCACTCCAGGACCCCAGCTCGAAAACTGAAATTTGAGAGATTGGTTGTAGCCAGAGATCTAGAGCTAATGGCGATAAATTTATGAAGAAACAACTTACCTCGGCAAAGTAGGATGTAAGTTGGCGTTCAGGATCGCCCCAGTCATACCAGCCCCCAGTGGCGATGACGTTGTCAACAAACGAGTATGAAATTACCACCCTGCTGTAGTTCCCCCATGCCCTTCCTAGAAACAACTGTGGCACGATTAAGAACACAGCATGACAATTCAGGCACATGGCATCCGCATATTGTCCCACCAGCTAGCTGAAAGACATACCTTGTCGTTTGCAGTGATATTGGATCTCATTAATAGGAAACCCGTTTCTTCTGATGAATTGCAGCGCTGTTGTGCTGCAACTGCACCTCCATACCCAGAAGGCTTCCCGTAGAACGCACAGCTCTGCATGAACAGCTTGTCATTTGCACGCCCACAGTGCATTGCAAGATGCCCTTGAGAAACGAACCTCATAGATGGACTTTCCGTTGCCAAAGATGAAGTCAACATTCCCTTCGAAGTAGCAGTTCCGGAAATAGTGAGTTCCCTGAAATGGTTGCCAGTAAATACGTTGCAACCAGGATTATTGATTCCAGACATCCTTACCCTATGATCATAGAGCGTGTCTTGCCAGCCAACAAATCGGCAGTTATAAAACGCTGCATAGTTTCCTGATATTCGCAGTGCAACTGCCATGCCCGCGGGATATGTTTCGTTTTGAAATGGCGGAGGGAGCTGTGCCGAGTTCTGCAAGTTCCCACTGTCAGAAAGGTTCCATATGAGGGCATCGTTTGCCTATTCATTAACAGTACCTGAAACGTGATGTTGTTTGCAACGAAAAAATCTGCATAGACACAGACAGAGCAAGTGCTGTAGGTCCCCAAGGGAGTACCATCAGCATTTAGCTTCCCAGCCCAATCGTCATAAGTTATTATCGTATTCACCGCATCTGTTCCTTGCAGCATGAGGCTCGTCGTCTTATTTCGGGGTATGATGACCTTCTCCCTGCTTGCATATCAGGAGTTAGTCGCCTATTTGAAACAAATGTGCTCTATGCGGAGCTCCCAAATCTTACCTGTAGAATCCCGGAAGTATCAAGATGACGACTCTGTCTAGGCCCAGAGACATCGCCATGTCCACAGCATCTTGCACTGACGTGAAATTACCGAGCTCAGGATCCGAAGATACAACGATGGACGGCAGGGGATAGTCGCCCCACACAACCTTAGGCTCCCTGGCCATCGCGAAATTGTGAAGTACTTGGTCTTCCGTTTCCCAACCACGAATTTGGCTCATGCTCAATGTCTTTCTCCTGGAATGTCGCTGGTGCGTCAGCGCCAATGGGTGTACACGTCCCCGTGCCATTTTTGGAACGATGGGAGTTCCCACAATGGCATGGAAAAATGACATTGAGAATGCCAATCCTGGAAACATGAACACCGTCAGCGAATGAGGCACGCCTTTCGGTTTTCACCAATTCCTTCCAAAAATCTTACTTAGAACGAATAAGGTGACCACCAAAAGCCCATTCCGAAGCACTTGCGGATTCAAGGCAGCCATCGGATAGTGCTGGGAGTGAAGGCTGCTTGCAGGAGCATGAACGGGAACCGTGTTCTATGCGGCGCTTTTGAATGGGCTGTTCATCAGATCGCGCGCAAATCGAGGTTACACAAAATTTCCATCTGCGTCCTCGGTTTGAAGCAACTCTTGAGATTTGTTTTCCTGCTTTGGTTTTGGTTTGGTTTCGTTGGTCTGGCTTGGCTAACTTGCTTTGACAGCAATTTTGAACCGTTGATCAACATTGTCAGACGCGGATGCTCCGCCGTTGATCGATATTGTCAGAAGCGGAATCGGCGCTACGCAATGCGATTTGTCCGATCAACATCGATACAAGTTCACTTGCGAGCTCGATACAAGTCATTCATCCCATCTCAACATCACAATTCACAACCATCTGTTTCCCCTTCCTCCTGCAAGTTCCAGAAGGACAACCTTTGTTCTCAGCTAACCAGTATCTCTCCAGTTTCATCTAAACAACATGCGCACCACAACAGACCTACGCGTTAGTGTGGTCGTTGCCGAGCACTGTATGTTGTGCCTCCTGCCAGCACGCACGCCCGACACCTTCTAGCTGTGTTCTGCATTCTACGAAGGCGGCATGGCTGTCGGATTGCGACCGTACCTAGTGTCTTGCCTTCCATGGCTGTCACACAGGCAGCAGCCTCTAGCGTTCACGCGCGTGATTCTTGCGCTGCTTCTTTGTGCTTCGATCGCGCGACTAATGCAAGCTATGGATTTGCCTGCATTGGAAAATCCGCCAATCAATTCGAAGTTAAAGGATCTGCAAAGAATCAGCAGCGATCCTCCTCCGACAGCGAATCACCTAATGCTAGATGATCACGCTTCGAGCGACGCAGATTCAGTCCATAATCGTGCGCGATCGCGTCCAATGCACGAGGACCTTACCACGACCACCGCCAGAACCTCCAATCCTGCCTTCCATACACCATTTCCCACTGACCTTCCAGCGAAACCCCCAGCCCTCTCAACGACGCGTCGAATCCTCAAATCTGCAGCTACGATTCCTCCAGGAGAATCCAATTCGTCCTCTCTCTTCCCAGCGTCCGTTGCTCTGTCTGGAAGCGGGCTTCACCACGCCACTGCAGGCGCGCAAGGCTGCTTCCTCGCCGTCCTCCTTGACGCCAGCGGAACACCGTCCGGTGCTGGTGCAACCTTTCGGGCCCAAAACCGGCGCTTGACTTGGCGCGTTCAGCTTTCTCTACTGCACGCTCCCCCACCGCCTTCCCCTCCGCCTCCTTCCCCCCCTCCCCCGTCTCCGCCTACGCCAAGCCCGCCAGCGCCTCCTCCTCCCGCGCCACCTTCTCCAGAAGCCAAGAAAGAGAGAAGGCGGCGGTTGCATGAGGAGTTCAACTCAAGAAGCAGTACAGGTACAGCAACTGATGGCGATGCTGATGCTGATGCGGATTCATCTGCCGGAGAAACCGTTCCAGTTATTGGGGGTGTTGAGAGCATACAGGGTGGGGAGTATATAGGGGAGCGGCGGAGGTTGCGTGCCAAGAGTAAGGACAAGGATAAGAGCCAGAGTCAGAAGACAGGGGGCAAAGTGAAGGGCGGCCCAGGGAATGTGGAGAAAGAAAAGCCTGCCGAGGTTGTGGAATCAGGAACCGATTCGACTCTGTCAGGCAAAGTAAACGAGCGGGGAGAAGCAGAGGACCGAGAGGAGGGGAGGACGACGAGTGAGCGAGGCGTGGGAAACCGGAAACGGGAGGAAGCAGGCGAGATGAGGGACGACTGGTTGGTGTCAGGGGGTCGTATGCAGTATGACCCGAAAGGAGGCTTCTATGTGGGTTGCTACGTTGCTCCTCTGCCTGGAGTGTACTCCCTCACTATCTCCCTCACACTCATGCCTCCTACTGAGCCACAGGATTTCCGTGCAGCACAAAGAAAACCAACTGGGGGACAACAAGCAGCAGCAGCAGCAGCAGGAGTGGAAGGCGGGGAAGAAGCTGAAGCTCCAGTGTTGATACACGTGGCCAGATATCACGTGACAGTGGTGCCAGGGGCTGGGCTGCCAGAGAGTGCTGGGAAAGGGGATGGTTCGTGGAACGAAGGGAATTCAGATGGAGCAGGCAGCAGGTGGTGTGACAGTGAAGCAATTGCTCGGGGGCATGGCAGATATGCGAGCTGGCATGGTGCGTTCATGTGGTTCTGCTTTTGTGAATGGACACGATGTGATCTTGTGTAGCCGAAGGAAGGAAGAGGAGGAATGCGAGGTGGTGCCATGCTAAGTGGTTCTTGAGTCTGCCTGGATTATGGGGTGTCTATCTTGCTGTGATTGCCCGTTCTCGTTTTTGTTCTTCTCAACCATTCGCATGCCGTCTCCACGAACTATAGCAACTGGGCGGATGAGGTGCTGTGCCTCGTGTCTTTCTCCACACAAACTCCAACCTCACATACTCCTCCTCGTTTCCCCCTTCTCCTGTGTTCTGTACCCACCCTCCCTTCCCCCACTCACCAGGCAGCAGCATCACCCTCCCCACGTGCCGCATATTCCCCTGGTCGCCCCACCACGCGTTCGTCCCTCTAGCCGGCCACTCTCTCGCAGTCTTCGGCGACTCCAACCTGCGTGCCTGGGCAGCATATTTTGTCACCTTTCTGTCTGGCGGGGCATACAATATCACGCACTCTTCAGACAATCGCCCATTACAAGCAGCGTATGAGCTCACTTGGGTTCAGAACGCCTATACCGGCTGGCCTGGGCAGGGACGCACAAAAGGTTTTGAGCTGCCCGTGGGGCTGCGGTTTGGGCGACGGGCGAGAATCCGGGCAGAGGGGAGGGAAGACTGGCGGAGCTTTGGACGGGTGAGGGTGGAGAATGCGTGCTTGAACCAATCAGGGGTGGACATGTGGTTGTTCCCCCGCGCCACTGATAAGCAGATGAGCTTTTCTGAAATACTCGGGGAAGAGGTGGTGAGCAGTAGTGGGGCAGCAGTAAGGCATGGAGTACTAGGGAGTAGGAGAAGCCTCTTACAAGAAGACTTGGCAGAAAGAGTTTCCTCAACAACATCGAGTTTTTTAGCTGATTCAGTGTCCTCTAGTGAATCTGAACAGACTGCAAGAGGCAGTAGCAAGAGGGATGGGAATGAGAGAGCACAGAACAGGCGGGCACTGTGGCTTGTGAAGAGCAAAGGTTTGCACAGAACCTCTAGCACCTCTCCATGGCTCCCTCCCCACCGCCGCTTCTGGCGTGTGGTGGCTGGGGTGACAGTGAGAGATCTGGCGGAGTATGAGACAGCAGCAGAGTATGAGTCCGCTCTGCAGCGGCATGTGGTGCCGTCTCTGCTGCAGCTGGTGCGGCGAGCAGCACACGTGGTGTGGGTGGGAGGCTGGGCAATTCAGGCAGTGAATGGGCAGCAAGGGCAGGGAGCAGATGGAGGAGAGGGAGAAGGGAGAGAGGAGCAGGCAGGGGGGAGCCGGTGGGGGACGGCAGAGCAGGAACAGCAGAAGCAGCAGGAGGAGCGGTGGTGCACGGATGGAAAGGGATCACGGGTGAATGATGCAAGGGCACGGTTGTTTGACGCTGCTGCATACAAGGTCATGCGCATGCATGGTGTTCCGTTCCTAGACCTGAGGTCGCTCACTGAAACGCGCCCCTCTCTATGTCCTGACGGCTGCAACTACCTCTGGCCCGTGCACCATGCTCTCTCTCTCCTGCTGCTCCATCTCTGGTCCCCATACCCTCCGCCCATGGCTCTCCCCTTCAGCAGCAGCAGCAGCAGCAGCAGCAGCGCTGGTGACAGCAGCAGCACTGGTGACAGCAACACAAGCAGTTTTGGAAGTAGCAGTGGTATAGTGGGGTTGCCAGTAGGGTGTGTGGACGCTGATGCGCCGTCGAATGTGACCAAGGAGGAGGTGGTCGTGGATAGAGATGAGGCGCTGAAGAAGGCCGAGATGGAGGGTGGTGGGGAGGTGGAGGCAGAGAAAGGAGGAGGAGGAGGAGGAGGAGGAGGAGGAGGAGGAGGAGGAGGAGGAGGAGGAGGAGGAGGAGGAGGCGAAGGAGGGGGGATAATCTCTGGTGGTGGTAATGGGGGACCGAGTGCTGCAAATGAGAGCACAGAGAAGGACGCGGAGGGAGGAGGCGCAGCAGGGAGTTCTGGAGAGGAAAAGCCATGGCCAGATGTGGATGCTCTAGAGCAGTTGGACTTCGGCAGGTGGTTCCCTGGTAGGGGCACAATGCTGGAATCCACTAGCGCTCTTCAAAGGTGGGTCAATAAGGCTAGGCGGGCAGTGGAGGGAGGAGGAGGAAAGGAGGGACCAGAGGAGGATAGGGAGACGTCTGAGTGGGGTTCACTTAACGGCGAGAGGAAGGGAGATGGAGATGGTGCAACGGGTGGGGGTCAGGATGGCAGTGGTGGAAGTAGCAGCAAGCAAGGTCTGGGAAGATTCGGTGGGGCAACAGCTGCTGTTGCAGCAGCAATCTTGTCACGCATTTCCATCACAGAAGTACCCCTTCCGCTTCATACTTTGGCGCCCTACCTCCTACACCTTCCTGGTAACGACTCCTTCTCCTCCTCCTCCTCCTCCTCCTCGTCCCCTTTGTCTCCCCTCACCTACTACCTCCCTTTCTCTCGCGCTGTGCACCTGGACCACTTAGTCGTCCGTCAGACCCTCGCCCGCTGCTTCGACATCCGCAACGACTGCCGCAACCTGCGTGCCTCCTCGCTCTCGCGCTACCACCGCGACTGCTTACCCAAGGATGGGGTCATGACAGCAGTGGCTGCGGGCGTGATAGAACGCTGCGAGAGCTGGTGCCCGGGGGAAACCATGTGCTGGAACAGCAACAGGAGAGCTGCGGCTGCGCTGTCGAAAGCAGCGCTGAAGGCCCCGGTTAAGCTGAGGAAGGAGGAGGTGCTTCTGGTGGAGGCGAAAGAGGCGTTTGTCACTCCTGCTGGGGAGGTCTATGGGGTGGGGTGGAGGGCGCGAGGAGGCGGCGAGGGGAGCGGCAGTGCAGTGAAGGGAGGAGATGATGAGAGCAGTGAGGGTGATGGTGCTGGTACTGCTGATGGAGGTAGTGGGGACGGGGGTGCGAGTGGGATTGGGGGAGATTTGGAGCTGAAAGACGGAATGCTGGCCCTTGATGTGCGTTTGGGGCAGTGCCACCGCCCCATGGAGCTCCTGCGAGTGAGAACAGACTGGCGATGGGGTGCTGAGCATGCGGCACGCACAGTGTTCGTGGCAGATGCAGAGGAGGATGGTGTCATCGCAGCAGTCACTACGTGCCTCACTCGCATTGCCCTCTGGAGAGATCAGCTGCTGCAGGATCAGTCTGTGAAGATCCATGTGCGCGGGCTGGAAGGAGGGGAGGGGGAGTACCCGCACTACCTGCCTTCCATGCTCTCGTTTCTGTCCCTCTCGCCTGATCGGCTGGTCGCTGGGGATCTCTATGCACACCAAATTCTTCTCATGGACCCCCCCTGCCGTGCTCCGTTTCGAGCTTTGGATGGGGTTTTGCTGCTCAACCTGAGGAGAGTCATACACGAGCTTCTGAGTGGGCACGGGAGGGCGAAGGGAAGCACGAGTGATGGTGGTGATGCTGGGATTGACAGCAAGGGAAGGAGTGAGGACGGAGGCAGTGTAGGCGGTGATAGTAGTGATGATAGTGATGGTGTGGCGAGCGAGAGTGCGGAGGGAAGCAAGGTCAGCGAGAAGAAGGTGAAGAAAAAGAAGAAAAAGGCGAAGGCGAAGAAGAAGGAGAGCTCAGAAAGCAGCAGGAGGAGGGTGCTCCGGGAGGTTGGAGCAGGTGGAGCACGGAAAGAGGTGTCTAAGAATGGCACGATCGTGGTAGTCCAAAACCAATGGTTCCGAAAGGTGAGCTCTCTCCATGATTGCTGCAGGTCTATTTCCAAGTAGCAGCTGCACGGCTAGTTGCACGTTGATCAATGCTCCACTGGATCGACCGTGCTGCATTATCCAACCTGTTCTTACTCCGTTTCCACCCTCTGGATTTGTTTCCGCAGGTGCGAAATCTCGAGGAGTTTGTTTCTTCTCTTCGGCAGCAGGTGTCACTTCCTGTGGATGTGATCACGGATGACGGCAGGCACGATGTCTCGGACCTCTGGCCACGCTTCTACCAGGCAGCTCTTGTCATTGCCCCGCACTCAGACCTCCTTGCTCACATCGTGGCGTGCCGGCAAGGAACACCAGTGTTGGAGTGGATGCAGCCATGGCGTGCTGACGACCCCGCTAGCGCCAGCCCGCGATTTCAAACACTGGCTACCGGCCTTGGCATGCCGTACTATGTTTCTGTGGTTGACTTCCATGACCCGTTTGATGACCCGGATGCGGCAGAAAAGGTGAAATCGGGCAAGGAGGACGAAGGGAAGTTGACGGGTTTGGACTCCATAGGGGGTTCATATGTTGAGGTGAATGTTCGTCAGCAGGTTCGAAACGTGGTTAGGATTCTGGAGGATGTAGGTGAAAGATGGAAGGAGAAGTGCCAGTTGGTGGAGTACCAAACTAGCTGAGGATGGTGTAAGATTGATACTAAGACACCGTTTTCCAAATAAACATGGTGGGAGAGCTTATTGCCAAAAGAATAACAGTGTGCCTGTCAACCAGCCAATGAAGAATCTATTTTAATTATTGTTATAAGCCCCATTTGAATTTAAAGTATGGAAAAATCTATCACCAGTCGTGTACTTTGACGCGCTCTGCTGTTTGTCCTCCCGGAACGCACTGAGTGGCAGGCCCACCAGGGAGCGCGGTCCCTCCAAACCTGGCGGGTGTCAGACTCTCAGATTCAAACGCGGTCTGGTGTAGGACCTTTCTGAAACCACCACCAGCAAGGTCACATCCCACACCCACACATTCCCTTCCCTCCCACCCTCACACACGCACATTCCACCCACATTGCCACCACAAAAAGGGACTGGCTTTCGTTGTTTTGGTGACTGTCTTGCGTTGTTTCGGTGACTGGCTTTAGTTGTTTTGGTGACTGGCTTCCTGTCAATTAGTCCGAGAGCAGTTTGCGTGTCCACGTTCCCGTACTCTCGTGCATCGGTTTTAGGTCGCTTAGGTTCGCTCCTCCTTTCAGCCATGAATTCACTAGGCGGTGATTTCCCAGCAGCGTCTCTGAAGAACGCGAAGACCCAGTCACAACCAGTCGACCATCATTCTGTGTTGAAGAGGTGCGGATTTAGGTTCTATGTGGTCTACCGTTCGTCAATTCGCTGAATATAGCGTCTAATTGCATCGTTTCCTCTGGTTTTGGATCTTGACGCAGGTTGCAATCAGAGTTGATGAAGCTTATGGTGCGTGTCCCATTCCACGTTTTTCGTCGCATTTGCTAGTGTAAAACGAATTCCGCTAACTTCTCTCGTTCGTTAATCTGCAGACGTCTAGTGATCCCGGGGTTTCTGCCTTTCCGGAAGGCGACAACATCTTCTCCTGGGTCGGTACAATCCAGGGTTCTGCTGGAACCGTGTACGAAGGCTTGACGTACAAGCTTAGCCTGAAATTTCCTTCCGACTATCCGTTCAAGCCTCCAACCGTCAAGTTCGAGACTTATTGCTTTCACCCGAACGTGGACCAGTTCGGTAACATCTGCCTCGACATTTTGAAGGTTGGTCGCAGTACGGACCATAGAAGTACGTCGTTCTCGCCTCGGAATTGATGAATAAACCCACTTATTATCATCATGTTGACGTTTCAGGACAAGTGGTCATCCGCTTACGACGTGAGAACCATTCTCCTCTCCATCCAGAGCCTTCTTGGAGGTGAGATGTTTTCTCCTTAGCTGACGACGTCATGCAGCTTCCATCTGGCCTTGAAATCTCATGTTGCCATTTTTACTACTTTCTGATGCAGAACCCAACAATGACAGCCCGTTGAACGGTCATGCCGCGGCGCTTTGGCCGCATCAAGAAGGTAAGGTTGGGTAAACAATGAAGGGCAACTATGCTGATACCTTGAATGATAATATAATGAGTGTGGTGTCTTATGGCAGAGTACCGAGAACTTCTACATAAGAAGCAGAAGGATGCAGATCTGAAAGGGACTGCTTGATCCTCGATGATTCTCAGTGGAGACAGACAGGTGGTAATGCCATTTATTCATTCAAGAGCTCAAAAAGTACCATCCATGGAGAGCAAGATCTATACGTTGGCGATGACCAGTCCACTATCATCAGCCTGTCATACAGCCTAGTATTATACTCAATTACTAGTTGCTGACTGCTGCAGCTGGAAGCACCCTGTTTTCAGGTTATAATCATGACAGATGCGTCATCTCATCAATGGCACTGGCCCTCTGCCAGTTGTGCTCCAGAGTACCAATCTGACCTGCTGAAATAAAGGTGTTACGGTACCAGGAACGTCATCCCCGCTGCAAACATCAAACGTCAAACAGCTTACAAGGTACAGTTATGAGATCAGAGAACACAGAATATATGTAATTTTGACTGGACAGACTTCATACCTAACTAACAATATCAAAACATTCACGTGCAGAAAAAATCACACCACCTGAAGTGAGGCAAGATACAGGAGGGAAACCTGACATCCTCGTAAACCTAGCTCTGCCACCCATGATATGATGCACCTTTGCCAGAATACACAGCCATAGCCTCATCGCTACTATCAACCAATGAAGCATGGCCAGCACCACGAGCAGTCCCGTATTCATTCCGGCAACCAGGCTCAGTCGTGTCGTGGTCCGCCCAGGCCGATCCTCTTTCCTGATGGGCACGGCGAGGAGTCACATAAATAGGTAAACCAGCAGCTGCTGCGGCTGCAGCTGCTGCTGCAGCATAATGAGAAAGTGGTTCCTGTGGAGGAAGAGAGGCAGGGCAGGACCTGGGGCCAAAGTAGCCCGGGCTTGGAAGAACAGCTGCTGCTGAGTCTAGGGAAGAAGATGGAGGGAAGGAGGCATCTGTTGATACAGCAAGTTGAGAAGGAGGCTCAGGCTGCGTGGAGTTGAAGGACGGCAATTTCAGCGGCTGTGGCCGGAAGTGGCGGTGAGGAAAACGTTGGGTGGAAGATATGGGAGGAGGCTGGAGGGTGTCAATTGGAGGAGGAGCAAGGGCAGGGCGCCTGAGAAAGAGAGGGTTGTGTGGTGCTGCCTCCTGCTGCTGCCGCTGTTGCTGCTGTTTCCAAGAATAACTAGAAAGGTCCTGCTGCTGATGATCGTGAATTTGAAGGTGGCGATCCTCCTCCTGTTGCTGCTGGCGGTGGTGAAACTGGCAGGGCGAATCATCGCTATACAGGTCCTCCTCCTCCTGGTGATCACCGAGTTCGGCAAGGTATAACGGTGCTTGCTTGCCTGGTCGCCGCATCATCCGAGCAGGAGGGGGCGTGTGAGGTCGGTACACATGAGCGACAGAGCCAGAAGCAGCATCACAGCGGGATGATCCCGAGGGACGCTCAAGCCGTATGGGCTGCCATGTGTCTCTCGTGTGTGGAGGCTGCTGCACGCCATACACAGCTGCAGCACTCTCCTCTTGGAATTTCTCGTTCTCCTCCTCCTCCTCCTGCGCCTTCACCTTCTCTTCCTCGTTTCCCCCTCCCTCTTCCTCTACGCCTTCCCCTTCCTCTCCTTCTCTCATGTCATCTCCATCATCTGCCACCTCCCCCTCCCCAAACCCAGCATCTTCATCTTCTCCCTCTGACCACTCTTCGTCCTCCTCTTCCTCCACATCCTCCTCACTGGACCAATCCTGCTCACTCCCCTCCTCATCTCTCCACCCCCTACCTCTAAACTCCCCTTCACCTCCATCCCTCCCTCCAAAGCTTCCACCCCACCCAAGTTGTTCCCGCTTCAACCACACTACACCCCTCTGCACCCTTTCCACCTCTCCATGTTCCTGTTCCACCACTCCATGTCCCATTCCCACTCCTTTATGTTCCTTTTCCACCCCTTCCTTGTGCTGCTCGTGCCTCACACCAGATCCCATCACCACCACTTCCATCTGCCCAGGAAGCAACCCCTTGTACTGCTGCTGCTGCTGCTGCTGCTGCAAACGCCACTGCTGCAAGCCCGGATGCTCACTGTCAACATCAACAGCAGCCGAAGCAACAGCAGCAGCTGTAGCGGCGGTAGCAGTAACCTCCAAAAGCCTACCTTCATCCTTAAATACCTGCCGCTGCTCATCCCAGAACTCACACCCATGCTGCTCCTGCTCACTTGCACCAAGCACATTCTCATCAACCCTACCACTCCTGTTCCTACCCAAGGCAGCGTCGTCCCGCTCTTCTCCACCCTTCTCCTCGCGCCTTTTCCTGCCACGCCCGTACCACAGCCTGCTGCCCTTGCTCACCCTGCCCTCGTGCCCCCTCTTTCTCTGGTCGCCTTTCGCTGTGTCTAGCTCTCGCTCACCCCGGCTTTCTTCGTTTCTGATCCTCCCCTTGTGTTTCCTCTTATCGCCTGCCATCCCTTTGCCAGTTTCACCAGCACTGGTAGCTCCACGCTTCAAGCCCCAGCGCTTCAACAGAGCGACCTTGGCAGATGGAGCTGTTTCTGAAGAAACGTCCCCCCGTTTCAGTTCGGCCTGTTTGCTCTTCCTCGTCTCCTCAAATTCAGCCCCACCTCGTTTCCCCTTACCCTTGCTCCGGCCCTTACGTCCACCCTGCACAGAGGCTGCTTTGTCACTGAAAACACCATCACCAGCTGCAGCAGCAGCAGCAGCAGCAGCAGCAGCCCTAGCAGAGCAAGCAGCGGGCGCAGCAGCAGAAGCAGGAAGCACGACCTCTTGAGGAGAAGCATGGGTGTGAGCGAGCGCATCAGGAGCACGGCAAGCACCACTGGCTGTGATTGCAGCAGATTCCAAGCTGCTGCTGCAGCTGCTGCCAATCGCCTGTGCATGCTGCCGAGGCACAAAGTACAGCAGGGGAGAGCGCGGTGGAGAGTGGTGCTGCCGCCTTGAGAAACGGGCAGAGGGCTGCTGAGGAGAGTATATGGGTGAGTAATACTGCGGAGGAGGGGTGGGGTGCTGCTGTAGCAGCTGCTGCTGCAGCAGCTGACTGTGGCAAGGTGAGTCTTGAGAAGACGAAGCACATGGGAGGTGCGAAAGGTGAGCTTGCTCCTGTTGGTGATGTTGGTGCTGCTGGTGCTGGTGGTGAGGCGACAGGTTTGCTGAAGAAGAAGCAGCAGATGCAGTGGGGTCAAACGAACTCCACAGCGGCAGCTCCCCACATCCTACTGCTGCCACGGCACCTCCCTCTTCAGGTGCTCCTCCTCTTTCTCCTCCTCCTCCTCCTCCACCACCTCCTCGTCCTCCCCCTCCTCCTCGGCCTCCAACCGTTTCTGCTGCAATTTCTCCTGACCATCCTCCCACTCCCATCCCCACACCATCTTCACCAGCAACTACTGTCGATGCTGCCCCCACCGCCGCTGTCCCAACAGGCGCTGCCATCGCTGCCACCGCAGCCGCCGCCGCTTCTGCTGCTGCAACAGTTGCAGGCCCCACCGCTACAGCCTCAACTACACTCGATTCAGAGTCACTCAAGTTGCCGCCCCACTCCCTCTCTTGCCCTCCCCAGCCCTTCCCACGCCATCCTCCTCCCTCTCGTCCATCCACCTCCATCCCTGCCCATGCCCTTTCCTCCACCACCACCACCTCCCGACTCCCCATATCCCTTATACCGCTATCCCCATGCACCGGTGCTGCTGCTGTCAAAGCTGGTGCACCTGTGGCGCGGCCAGGAACAGCAATGGCAAGGGGAACGGGTGATTCAGGGCTGGGAGCAGCACCAGCAGCAGCACCGGCAGCAGCAGCAGCAGCAGCAGTGGCGTCAGCAGAAAAAAATCGAGGAACGAGAGCGGAGGAGGCGTGAGCGAGAGCAGGGAGGTGGTAAGGGGGAGGAGGAGGGAAGCGGTGAGGAGCGTGGGAGGTGCTGCTGCTGTCCTGGTAGTTGCTGCTGTCCGGTTGCTGATAGTTGTGACTGTCTTGAGCAACCTTGCTGTATGAGGCAGAAGATTCAGAGCTTCCTACAAACATGATGCCTCCCCTTGGCCTACCTGCCCATCTCCAATCCTTCTGCTGCCCTTGTTCTGACTCACCCATCTCCCCATGCTTCTGCTGCCCCTGCTGCTCCTGCTGCTCCTGCTGCCCCTTCTGCCCTTGCTGCCCTTGCCCTCGCCCTCGCTCTACCCCATGCTCACGTTTCTGATACCACTGCGCCCGTACCTGCACCTTCTCCCACAAATCCTCATCCCCGTCCTCCTCCTCCTCCTCCCCCTCATCGCCCTCCTCCCCTCCACTACCACTGCCCCCTTCCTCTAGAGTACCCAGCCGGCCCCGCTCCTCTCTCTCCACCGCCTCCAGCCATCCCATCACCAGCCAATTCCGGCCTGCGACCTGTACAGCGCGCCACAGCTGCAGGTCTACCACTTGCGCATGCAGGGGTGAGGGGCCGGAGGAGGAGGAGGAGGAGGAGGAGGCGGTGAGAGGAGTGGGCTGGGACGCGTGCGGGAGAGAGTGTGGGCCGAACGAAGATAGGGACGTGAAACGGAACCTGAGGGACGGGTCGGGAAGGGGGAAGGGGGAGGGGGATGGGGGAAGGGAAAAACGGGGAAAGGGGGAGGGGGGAAAAGGGGAGGGGAAGCGGGTGTGAGGTCGAGCAGGAGGGCAGGAGAGGACGGAGGGCAGCAGAGGGAGAGGGAAGCAGGGGAGAGAGGCAGCAGCGGAGGGGGGGCAACAGGGGAGGGTAGCAGGGGAGGCAGGACAGGATAAGACGAGGAGAGCTGGAAATTTTGTATAATAGCAAAGACAAAGACCAGCATGAAACCCGTAGAGTTTTGTACAGAGTGAGGAGGGAGAGATGCGGTGTGCGCATGGCAATGGCAGGGGCAATGACGACGATAGCAATGAAACACACACACCCCATACCCACCTTCCACCCGCCCCCCCACACACCCCCACACCCACCCACCCACCCGCCCCCACACACACCCATCCACCCACCCACCTACCTGCCCGCACTCGCACGCTCACGCAGGCACGCGAGTGCGCGCGCGCGCGCACACACACACACCTGATCTTGACGGACTCGGCTCGTTCCAGAGCCTCCATGGCCATGTGCCAGTCCAGAGGCCGCATGCGCCCCCCACTCAGCTCCCACACTCGTCTCCCCTCCAGCTGCACCCCCCTCTCCCTCTCCCTCTCCCTCTCCCTCTCCCTCTCCCTCTCCCTCCCCTCTGCCTTCTCCGAACCATCATCACCACCAACAGCGCTTTTCATCGCAGCAGCAGCAGCAGCAGCAGCAGCAGAGAGGGAATGCGTGTGCGACGGCGGCAGGGCTAGCAGCAACAATGAGGCCAGACTCCGCTTCGAGCAGCACCGCAGATCGACCCACCGGCGCCTGCGCCACGCTCAGGAACGCCGCTGCTCCTGCTGATGCTGCATGCACGGACAACAGCTCAGCAGGCAGCCACGGAGGGAGTGAGCTCGCACTCATGCTGCCGCCGCCGCTGCCACCGCCGCCGCCGCTGCTGTTGCTATTGCTGCGACTGCCTCGGTTGCTCGTGCTCGTGCTGCTGTTGCTGGGTCGGAGCTCGTGCGGCGGCTGTTTCGCCCTGTCAGCGGAGGTTACTTCGGCAGCAAATGCAGGGGCAGCAGCACGATAGGTCCCGGCAGAATACTCATCCTCCGCAACATAAACACCGCTATCCACAGCAGCAGCAGCAGCAGCAGCAGCAGCAGCAGGGGAAACAGTAGAAGAAGCAGGAGGAGAAGCAGCGGCAAAGCCAGCGCCTCTCCCAATGAGCGCGCTCATGAGCGGATTGCACCCGGGCTGAAAGCCCCTTGACACGCCCACCACACTGCCGTCACTGTTGCGCCTCACTCGCCCTGCCCCCACCACCACCCGCTCCTCCTCCCCCCACCACATGCAGCCCCCCCATCATACCCTGAAGCCCCTCAAAACGGCCCCGCTCCCCATGCCCCGCGCCCTCCCCGTGCTCCCCCCGCTCCCCATGCCCCGCGCCCTCCCTGCGTTCCCCCCGCTCCCCCTGCGCGTGGCCGTGCAAGCCGCCCATATGCACGAGCCTATGCCAGTGCTTGTGCCGCTCTGTGTGCTCGTCAGGGTGAGACTGGGACTTGGGGAAGAGCGAGGGGGCGAAGGGCGGAGCGGAGGGGCGGTCTGGTCCGGGCATGGAGTGGCTTTTGAAGCGGTTGCGGTGGGCTAGGAGGTGCGCGGAGGCAGGGAGTGGTGGGCGCGGGCGCGCTGCTAGTGATGGCGGCGTTGCTGCTGATGATGACGGCGATGGCGATGGTGAGAATGATGACCGGTGCGAGTGGCCTGGGGTGCCAACTAGGGTAGCTGGAGAAAAAGGGGAGGGAGGGAGGGAGAGAGGGAGCGAGGGAGGTAGGGAGGTAGGGAGGGAGGGAAAGAGGGAGGGAGGGAAAGAGGGAGGGAGGGAAAGAGGGAGGGCGGGAGAGGAAGCGAGGCCACAAAGGTGAGTGATGGCATTGGGGATGCGGGAAGGCTTGTTCTTAGTGCTGAGTACCGCGCGGGATTGGCCAGTGGCAAACGCATGCAATGCAACCGCACGCAGCAACGGAAAGGACAACAGGAGAACAACAACCCGTAAGTCTGGAAAATCCTGAGAGAACAGAGAAGTAGAGACAAGAGGAAAACGCAACGGACGATCGAAAGAAAACAGTGACAAAAAGACTTGAGGGCTGGGACGCGTGAAAACCCAGAAAAGACTCTCACCAGCCGCAGTAAGATCCCAGGAACCACCACCGTAAGAGCCATGGTGATACGCAACAGCAGGCTCAGGAGCAGTGACAACCCCACGGCCTCCTCCCCCTCCTCCTGCATTACTGCGAGTATCACCAAGAGGGTTAGCAGTAGCAACAGTGGCAGCAGCAGCAGCAGCAGCAGCAGACGGAGGAGATGCCGGGCAGGAGCAGCAAGGCGGAGTCAGCCGCGCCAGGCGGGAAGAGAGGCTCAGGCGAGGCAGCAGCAGCAGCAGCGTCATCAAGACCAGCAGCAGCACCAGCAGCAGCACCAGAGGTTCTTGGATGCTGCCCCACGGGTCGGGCGAGAAGAGCGGCGAGTGCATAGCAGGTCGCGCCGCCGTCGCTGCCGCTGCTGATGACGATGATGATAATGCGGCGCCGCTGATAAACGCCTTCCACCCGCCCTGCCGCTCTCTGCCTGCACCCAAGTCCGTGTGGCTCCTGGAGAAGAGGCGGGGGGGAGGGGACGGTGCTCGCCGCACCCTCGCCCGTGCGTCAGCCGTGCTCTCCTCTCCCAAGCTTTCCGGCACCGCACCTAGTCCCGTCCCACTCGCCCCTTCTCCTACTCCTCCTCCTGCTTTACCTCCTGCTACTCTGCCTGCTCCTGCTCCTGCTCCTGCCTCTCCTGCTCCTGCTGCTGCTGCAGCTGCTGCTGCTGGCGCTGCGCGCCTGCGTGGTTTCAGCGGGCCCGACTTGCTCTTCCGCCTGCCCATGCCATAGTTCCAAAACGCGTTCCTGCTCGCCTTATCACCAGCGCTACCACCACCACCACCACCATCAGCACCACCAACACTGGTCCCACTGCCATCGTGCGCGCCCCCTCCTCCTCCTCCGCTGCTTCTGACCTCTTCCAAATAGCCGCTTCCCCCCACCCTTCCCACCTCCCCCGCTTCCGCCAATCCACCCCCCATTTCGCGCACAAGCTGACGCTTCTCTTCCGCCGGGAGAGGAGACGCAGCGCGGGGGGCGGCGCTCAGATCCCCAGCCGCGCCTGAAACTTCCCCGCCAACTCCTCCGCCCGCTCCCCCGCGCCTGCTCCGCCAGCCTGCCCCTTGCGCGGGCGCAGCGGCCCTGACTTGCTCTTGCGCCTGCCCAGCCCGTGGGTCCATAGGCTACCCGTGGCTGGCGCGGGAACCGTCGGGGAGGGCAGCAGCGGAATAGAAAACCCGCCTGCGCTCGCTCCTTCTCCGCCGGTGCCTGACCCCTCGCCTCCGCCTCCGCCTCCGCCTCCGCCTCCGCCTCCGCCTCCGCCTCCGCCGTTCCCGCCGCCTCCTCCGCCGTCTGCTCCCCCCTCTCGTCCTCTCTCGCTCACGGAACCATCAACCGACGCGTCTGTCCCGACGCTTCCTCCAACCCCCACACCCACCACGACCGCCGCCGCTGCCGCTCCTGCGCCTGCTGCTGCTGCCGGCGGCGGTGGCGCCATTGGCGCCTCAACCTCCGCGTCCGCATAGACGTCGCTCTGAATTGGTAGCGGATGGTCCAATCCCGCCAGCACATCTCCGCCATTGCTCCCCCCAACAATCTGCACCTTCGAAACGCCCGGCGCCTCCGCCGCGCGCGGCGGAATGCGCGGCTCTTGCGCGCGCGCATCCAGGTCCAAGCTGCGGAGGAGGAGACTCCGCAAAGGCGGAGACGCGCCGCTTTGCTCTCCCCTGCTCCCTGCCGCGCGCGCGGCTGCTACGGCGGCTTGCGCAGCAGCTTGCCCCTTGCGCAGCCGCACGGGACCAGACTTGCTCTTCCGCTTCCCCATGCCGGAGGTCCAGCGCGCCGCTCCGCCCAGCAGCGGACTCCCCGGCGCAGCCGCCTCTGCGCCTCCGCCTGCGCCGTCCGCCGCTCCCCGCGAAGAAACTCCGGACGCCGTCGTCGGCGCAACAGGCGGGCGGCCGCCGAGGACCGCGTTCGCCGCCGCGCCTGCGCCGCCAGAAGCCCAGGCGGACTCCGACAGCGAAACGCTCTTAATCGCGCGCCGCGAGGACCCTGCTGCCGCTGGCGGAAGCGCGGACGTTGCGCCCCCCGTCGCAGGATTCCTCGGTCCTCCAACGCCCGCGGCCGATGCCGCCGCCGCCGTTGCCGCCGCGTGCGGGAAGCGCTGATCGGTGAGAGACTTGCTCTTAAACATCCGCCGTCCGCCGCCAGCCGACCGCGCGGCGTTCCCCAGCGCCGCGACCGCCACTGCGCCGACCATTGCGCCAATCCGCCCGCCGCGCCCGCCGCGGTCGGCACGTTCCGCACCCGCTTGTCCGCCGTTCAGAGGTGACCCAGGCAACGCGACCCTTCGCGCCTCGACCTCTAGGTCCCCCGTTGCCGCGAACGCGCTTCCGCTGCCGCTGCCGCTGCCGCTGCCGCTCCCCGCGGCGCTGCCAGAGCGGCTCGAACTACCGTCTCGCCGCAAGTCACGCTGCTTTCGCGACCCGCCGAAGGCACTTTCTCTCGCTCCAAGACTAGGAGCTCCCCGAGCCGCGCCCGAGGACATTGCCGTCACTAGCCCTCTCTCGTTGTCCGAATCGCTCCCTGAGTTAAATCCGCGCGCTCCGACTGTTCTGGGAAGAGGAGACCAAGCGGATGTGCTTGCAGCGGGGGTTGCGACGTCGCCGGGCGTCGCGACGTCGTCCTCGGGCCACTCGTGGATGCTCTTGGGAGTCTTGGACGACAGCGGCGGCGTCGCAGGGATTGTCGCAGGGCCTTTCGCAGACGACGGCAACCCTGACGAGAGAGCGGACCAGATCTTATTGAAACCTCCTGCGATTCCTTGCCGTCCCGTGCCCGACTGCGCTGCCTTTCCTGCCGCTCCTGCGCCTGATCGCTGCTTGACTCCTTGTTGCTCCTGCTGCTCCTGCTGCGGTTGCTGCTGCAAGAGCGACTCTGGCTGCGACTGCTGCTGCCGCTCTTGGATCGGCTGCGACGGGTTGCGATGCGAGTCGTGCGACGGAAGCGACAACGACTTGCTGTGACGACCGCTGGAGCTCTTGCGAAAGATTCGGTCAAAGTCTAGATGCAGAGTCAATTCCGTCTCCATATCACTCTCCGCATTCGCCGCTGCTGCCGCATCCCCTACCCCAACGCCACCACCACCGCCACCGCCAACGCCACCGGCGGCAGCAGCAGCCGAAGCGCTTCCGCCGGCGGAGCCGGCGGCAAAGGCGGCGGCGACATTTGGGTCACTGTGCCGGCCGGCGGGGTGCCGCAGATGCGGGGGATGCACGGAAGGGGAAGCGCCGGCGGCGGAAGCGGTAGACGGGCGGCCCTGCGCGTCGATCTCGAGGCGGCGCCGCGCGTTAAGGTCGAGCGGTTCCTGCTGCTGCCGCACCGAGGGGCCGGAGGAGGGGCCGGTGGGGGAAAGTCCGGCGAATAACCGCGGCGCGGAGGAGAGAACAGGCGCCATGGGAAACAGGGGGAGTCGATATTATAACTTCAGCAAGGTTCTCAGGATAAAGGAAGCGCCTCTTAGGATCCGAATGGCGGAAAGGTGAATCTCCTTGACGAGAATTGCGAGGCTGACATTGGGCCCGAGTGGAGCGCCGCGTGTCACGGCAGAACGTTCGGATGTTCAAAGGGGCTCAATCTCAGCATGTGCAGAAGTCAGCGAGCGTAACTTGCCGTGCGTCGTGGAATCTGACCCTCGACCTTAGCCTTGCGGCAGAATTCCACAATCGAGGATAAAGGCCTAAGTTGAGCAAGCCTGCGAGCAATCCTTTTTTTTGCAGAGAGGGGTGACGTGACGGGAATGCAAATTGATGAACTGGCTAGTGTGGGTAGCGAGCACGCGAATCTGACGGAAGGAGATGGGTGAAACTGATGAAGGTTCGTATCTGGCATCGGTCAAGGACTACGCGTCAAGAGATAAGAGCGGTAGTGTCTATCACAGGTGGCTTCTTTCCTTCCCTGAACCGCGAGAGATTATCTAACAGCAAAGCTTGCGCAACAGGTGGCGCCATGGTGCTTGCTTGGGATCAGCTGGGGTGGGGGCTTTTCCTCCCTCTGCCTCCACGCCACGGCCTCTCTCTCAAGGGCAGGAGGAAGGACGAACGGAACGGAAGTCTTGGTTTTGGTGGGACGCTGGGGGCTGTCGTGGTGTGGGCGTGATGGACGGCGAACTGGATTCAGAATTCTGCTACGCTGGGCACCGTCGCACGCACCAGCTGCTGAGGTGGTGCTGGGAGAGTCGGCGACGAAACGACACGACGAAGTGATAAGGACTGGGTGGGAGAATCATGCCGTTGGCAGGATCACCCCGCCTCATCGCCAACGTTACACAAGCGAACTGCACCACCCAAATGCTTCCATTCCATCCCCATCCCTCTCGCTCTCCGTGCGATTCCAAAATGTTTCGTTTTTATTTCAGACGGTCTCAATAACTTTGAGACCGTCACTGTCCGAAGTCTGGGGGTCTCCCAGGGCTGGGTACAGTTCAGCATACTGGGTCCTGGTCTTGGCTCCAGTTACTGCTTTGGTCTGCCAAGCTCCCTCCTAAAATTTCAAGTCTCGGTGCAAAGCGAGCAGATTTAGCTGAAAGGCATCAGAGACTGCTGTGAAAGGAGGGTGGAGGGGACCGGCCTGTCGTGCCGACACAAATGCCGTTTCTTCACAAGCCGAAGACCCTCCTGAATCCTGATGCCGTGTTTGGATGCGCGGTTACCACTTTCTTCAGGTGATGCCATAGGAGCCGTTTGCTGCTTACGTGGAAGGTGACGATCTCAAAATCAGGGTTGAAATGTGACGGGCATGAGACAACTTTCGAACGGGGGCAGAAATAGCCTTTTTCGAACGAAATCGTAAAATTGTTTCCTCGAAGGAGCCCTGGCGGCTGAACTGTCCAGCTACGGGCCCCAGTAGAGAAGTGGGGTGGGATGACAATTTTAGTATGGGGGGGCATCTTCGACATTCCAGAAACGCAGAAAAACTTCATTCTTCGCCTCCAACAAAAGCCAAATCTCAAGATGGGGGTGATCCGTTGAGCGATGGTGAGAAGTCAAAAGAGAAATCCGCAAACTATTCTCCCAGATTCTCACATGCCCGAGTGTACAGTTTAAACATTCGACCTCAAAATAAACGGGGAGAGTCTTGCGAGGTGAAATGAGAACCGCAAAAGCAAAGACACTCTTCTGACCGTGGACTGCCAACAAGAATCCAACAGCGCTCGTCTGCACTGTACAACGGGCAGTAACAGACGTTCATGGTCCCTGTCTTGTCTCTCGTGGGCGAGTCAACCGGTCTGGCTGAAGGAAAATGAAATGTATGCAACTGGACAGATACACATTGTTTTCGCGCTATACTTGTTTCCGTTATACATACTACATACTATCTGCAAGTAGAAACTCACTGGTTCAAAGTTGGTGCTATCAACCAGGGCCCGTGCTAGGTTTTGGGACACCCTGAGCCCTCAGGGCACTTTTCTAGAATCCAAAAAAATGCCCTGATTTCTCAGGGCAAATCTTCAGAGCCTTCCTGATTGGTCAGGGCTTTTGCAGAAAATAATCCTGACCTGTCAGGGCAAAAATTGTAGTGTTCAGGGTTCTGATTTTATCACAAACAGACCAGACCAGACTCTGTTTAGCATAGCAGAGCAGCCGCAGCCGAACTTCACTACTAGTGCTGCTGCTACTCTAACAGCAACACTGCAAGGGTGTTGGATGGAGTGCTACTGAACGTCAGCGTGAGAAACCCAGCTAGAGCTAGCCAGGCAGAGGACGAGTTGCCTTGGCGGTGGGTGATGGGGTGGGGTTGGCTTGGCTGGTGTAGCGGGGGATCGGAAATGTCAAGGGATCCCGAAGTGGCCTAGTCAGTAGAAAGAGGCACTTCCGATAGATGAGGTCCTGGGATCGAACCCACCCCCGTGCAGGCGTGTTCTGCCAGCCCCAAGTAGGGGTTAGCACGTGCTCATCTAGGAGTGGATACCCCTTATAAACTGGTTACGACCAGAAAAACAAATTTAACCTTTAATCGGAAATGTCAAGGGGAATAGAACGTGCGAAGGCGGGAAACGTACACGGGGGAAAATTTCAACGGAGACAAAAAACTTCGGGGAAAGAAATCCCCCCGAAACGGAACACCCCCCCTTACCCCCCCCCCCCCCCCCCCCCCCCCCCCCCCCCCCCCCCACCAAAATCCGCGTCAGGGCAGGCCTCGACATTCATCCTGACGCTACAGGGAAGAACACTACGGCCATCCTGAAACTCCAGGGCATTTCACATAAAAACATCCTGTGACCTCAGGGTTAAAATTATGACTATTCTGAAATTGCAGGGTAAATACAGAAGTGCATCCTGAATTCAGGGTAATCAGGATGTTTTGCCCTGATAACGTGGGCCCTGCTATCAACCAGACATACGTTACATCAGATATGTGATGATAAAATTGCATATTTACATACATACACGGAGAATGAAGAATGACGCTGGCATTATTACATTATTAGATGTTACTTTTAATAATGACGCTGGCATTATCCCTAATATCATTAGCATGCATTGTTCAATCATGCTTGTACCCACACTTCATGAATGCTGCGGCGCCTGAATGTTGCTGTATTAAATACTTGCAAAGAAGCAGCGTCAGTTTTATATCAATCCACGTTTCCATATGATGGCAAGGTGTGCTGCCGTTCAAAGTAGTATCGTGTTCTCCAATAACCATCACCCTGACCACAACAGCCAAGCCATGGCGGGATTCAACACAGCTAATGTCGAGATAAACTACCCTTGTCTGTTGAATTCGAGGTGATCGAGGCGATCGAGGCGGGGCGAAGCAACACAAGATAATCAGCGCTGCGCCCTGCAATGCATGCCTCTTGGCAAAGCCAACCCCTCGCCTCGCCTCGCGCCATGCGACATTCCCCAGACTGCACTCCCGCAGTAGACATCCCAAGCCGGCGCGCAGCGTTCGGCGCGGCAAAGGCAAAACCGCACCTCCTTCCGCATCTCCCCCCCCTCTCCCCAACTCCTCCGCCTCCTCACCCCCACCCCTCCTCGGTCCCCTGTTTCACCTTTAGACGTGACCACGCCTAGGATATCGTCGCTTAGCCGCGCGCCACATGGGGAACTCCGCCCAGTTTTTAGTCGAATGGGCAATCGATAACGATGGGTGGCCTCCTCCTGACCCACCATGCCATGCATCACCTCAACGAATGGGTGGAATATGCGGATGTGACGTTGCGGGAAAAGCCGAACAGCATGCACCCTGCCTGCCCGTGCGACGGAAAGGGACATCTCCGTGTACTACACCGGGATTTGTTGACTGACCGTGGGCGCGCCTCGAGTTGACGTGAAAGTACTACAACTCACACGAGTGTGGGCGTGAATCCGCATCTTGAAACGGCAGCGCCGATGTGAGAGAGAGGGAGAGTCGAGGCTGCGAGCTCCGGGCTCCGCCCAAGCTGCGAGGTGCGAGGTGCGAGGTGCGAACTGGGAGGAGCCCGTATGCGACGGTCCCCATGATCGCATCATTAGCTGGGCGTGATGCTTTTCCGCCGTGGCAGCAGTTTGCTTGACGTTCGATTGTCCCACGGCAGCGAACGGACGTCCGGACGGAATTTCAAACGGACGTTTTGGGGGGGGGGGAGAGGGACGTTCGGACAGACGGACGGACGGACGGATGTTATCCGTTATGGCATCAGCAGGGGCACAACTACGATGTTGACTTGACAATTGACGACGCTAAGGCTAGGGGCGTCATAGGGCTATGACTCCACGATAATGAGATGATGCCTCGTGATGCGCGTAGCCCGAGCTTAGTCGCGAGGCACCAAACAATACGGTCGACGTTGGCCTGTCAAGAGGTCACGAGACAGTCAATCAGTCAGTCAGTAGGCTCGGCCCGAACCTCTCTCGCCGAAGCTCGATGCTCCTCCTAGTTTATTTCGAACGTATCATGTGTGGGTAGCAGTAGCATCGTAGAGCGCGATTGGAGTAGGGCTGATCTCCCTGGGAGAGGGACAGAGTGAGAGCGAGAGAAGAGAATGAGGGGGACAGCGCGCGTATGCAGCACCTAGGACCTCGCAGCATGTCATGTCGATTTGATGTCACGAGTCCGACCATCACCATCCAATCGAATCCGTCCCGGAATCAGCGGAGCGCAGAAACGTGAGAGCCAGCCTGGCAGGTGCGAATCTGCGCTCGCGGCGATTTCCCCGAGAGAACTCGACCGAGGACGCTCTTTCTTCTGCTCGGGCGGATGGGACGAGACCAGGAGCAGCAGCCTTGACGCTTGCATACTGGCGACACAGACGGACGGGCGACGGTCGGACGGACGGGTTGGATGATAACGGACGATCAAATTCGATGCCTTTACCTTTACCATCGCATGCCAGGCCGCTAGGCTTTGCGAAGCTCATATTCTCGCGTCAAATCGCGTCTCTTGGCTGAAGTGCGACGCTCTCCCTGCTCCTGCTGCGCCTGCCCGTGCCTCTTTAGTCACTCGTCCGCTCTAGCTCAAAGCAGCTCTCTTGCTCCCTCTCTGCCCGAAAGCACCGCCTTTTGTGTGTGCCGCCTCACCTTACTGGCACGCACTGCTACCAGCGGCACTGTGCTGATGCCAAGAATTCATCTTTGAAGACTCATAATCACCGCTTTGCCACACCTCTACACCCTGCCACACCTTTGAACTCTACTCTTCCACACCACGCCTCTGCAAGAACCCAGCTCTTGGACTTCTAACACCGGGTAATCTCGCTTGTCTCTCATTCCAAGAAGGCCTTTGAGGCGGCTCAAAACGCGGGCTTCAGCACCGGGAAGTGGCAGTGTAATCCTTGTACTCGATTTGCTCCGATACAAGCAGCTGTGTTTTGTCGTGGCTTCCAGGGTGACGTGACGCATGCATGGCGTCGTCAGCAGGTGAATCCGGCATTCTCGTCCGCTGGGTTGGTGATCCTGTGACAAATGGGGAGTCCATGGCCCCTGTCCCCGGTGCCACTGGCGGTGCTGCTGCTGCTGCTGCAGGCTGTACAGCTGATGCTGCTTCTGCCGATGGTGTTGCGGATGGGAGCTGTCATTATGCAGCGTGTGATGTCACCTTTGAAGATGGGTTTTGCATGCATCTGGAAGCAGGTAACAAGCAAACGCGTCATATCCCATGCCTGATGATTAGCACCTTCTTTTAGAGCCAATATTGCTCCAGCAATGGGTGCAATTACTGCTCTTTCTCACCATCTATAAGATCTTGAGACATAACAACCCTGTTTTTTTTTCTTTCATCTTGTTTTCTTACCATTCACTTCAGTTCCTTCCTTTTCTTGATTCTTTTCCGCCTTCAGTGAGAGCTTCTCGTTTCTTGTTTAGACGAGCCGTCACTCCCTCACACACTTTTCCTGATTGGCGTCATGCCAGGGGGTTTCGTACATCTGATGCCGGAGAATCCCAAGGAGGACCTCTTTGTGGCGCGCATCGAGAGCTTCCTGGAAGAGCGCGGTCACAAGAGCCTCTGCGTGCGCTGGTGAGCTGCCGCCGCCGCCGCTGCTGCTGCTGCTGCTGTCTTTCAACCAAGAATTTATTTTCAGCCTTTGATAATGACGGAAAGATTGGATGCTGAAGCAAGTTGGTTCTCTCTTTGTGTGCCTCTGTTTGTGCTGCGGGGTATGCCTGTGTGCCTCTGTTTGTCGCTGTATGCATCTCTTTGTGTCGAATTTTGAGTTGCTTCTCATGCAGGTACTATCGCCTTCAAGATCTGGCACACAAGCCGCCTACCCCTCCAGAGCCCAACGAACTCTACTGTACGCCTCCTCTGCTCACTCACCCATTTGCTCGCTTCCCCCTTCACTGCTCTCTGGGTTGCGGTCTCTCAACAGGGGTTTTGAAGTCCCGTCTGAAAGCAATACAACTTATTTGCTCGCTTGCTTGTCGTATCCCCGTTTTCTTAATCTTCGACACATGGAAATTCAACCTCTGTGGTCCCAAGCCTCACCTTTCACATGTGATCCCTTTTTTATCACGCTTGTTGCTGTCTCTGCCTGTGCCTGTGCCTGTTCTTCTTCTGCTGCCTCTGCCTCTGCCTCTGCATGCAGACACCACTTACTACGACGTGCAGCATTTTGAAGCAGTGTGCCGGGAGCCCTGTGAGGTGGCACATGCTGGCACCCACAGCATCAATTCCCATGGGTATGGACGGCGCCTTGCTTCCCGCTGTCGCTGGATGTCCCGTTGCACTTCTCTTCGTTGTGACTTCAGTCGCAACTTCAGTCGCGCTTTCAGATCAAATCGATGAAAGTGTGCCTGTCTCACTGTCTGTGTCTGTGTGTGTGTGGTTTGATGGATTGCAGGGCTGGGGGGAATGCACGTGCGTATGTGTGCAAGTACGTGTATGTATCGGAGAAGGGAGCTTTTCTGCCCATCAAAGGAGGTGCGCTGCTTGCCTCCTTGCCTTCTTGCAGTCACTCTTCTCTGTTTTCTCCAAATATTTGATTTCTTTTGTCCGTTTCTGTGCTTCATTTTTGTTGATTTTGTGCTCTCTTCATTCTCCCTTTCGTTCATGTCGTTACCACATCCCTACAGCTGAAGCAGCTGATGCCACCAAGCAGCAGCAGCAGCAGCAGCAGCAGCAGCAGGACGAGGAAGAGGAGCAGAAGCTTCTTTCAGGCGCCGTCCTTGCACGTGGTAAGTCCAGCTTGTGGCTGCATGGGCCAAAACACACTCAAGTGTCCAAAGCGAGGTTGAAGCTTTTTCTCACATGCCTGCTGACGTGTTCTGCCTCCTCCTCTGCCTCTGCCTCTGCCTCTGCCTCTCCCTCTGTCTTTGCCCCTGCACCTGCTGTCTCCTCCACCTCTGCCTATGCTGATGTGTCTTCACACTGTGCGTTGCCGTGTAGCAGCGGAGAGCAGCAGCAGCAACGGCAGCGGTGGGCTGCAAGTGAAGGCGGGGGTGGCATATGAGATCAATGCATCGGAGCTGCCGCCCAATGCTCCACACCACCTTTGCCTTGCTCGCACTGTCGTTGTGAGTCACTCTGCTGCTGCCACCGCTTTCGCCGCCGCCGCTGCCGCCGCCGCTGCAGCTATACCTACCGCATCCGCATGCAGTTGCACTTGCTGAAAAGGAGGTCGCATCTTCCTTGTCTGCTGCTGCTGCTGCTGCTGCTTTCTTTCAACCTGCGGGCTCTGCCTTGGCGTTCTTGCACCACTGTATTCTGCTTCAGCTACCGTGGTGTGGTGTCCTGTGGTGTGGTGTGGTGTGGTGTGGTGTGGTGTGGTGTGGTGTGGTGTGGTGTGGTGTGGTGTGGTGTGGTGTGGTGTGGTGTGGTGTAGTTACCTCGAAATCACTTTTGAGAATTCTCAAAAGTGATTTCGATATAAGGTGTGGTGTGGTGTGGTGTACCTCGTCCACGTTGGTCCAGGCGTTTGTTTTTATTGAGCATGCCCATTAGTTGCCTGCCGTGGCATGTGGCAGTTTGAGCATCAACAATGCCTGTGCCTGGCTGCCTGTCTGCCTGCCTGTCACATCTGCCGTTTGTGTTGTGTGTTCTTACCTTGTGCATAAGCTTCCTCCGTGTTTGAGTCTGACTATAAGTCTGTCCGACTGTCCATCTGTCCACCCGCCTGCTTGTCCACCCTTGTGCAGGTGTCAAAGAAGGAAGGCAACAGCATCACAATCAAGTACCCCTCTCCCTCCTCAATCCGCAAGGCCTTTGGATTCATGCACGCAGCAAGAGAAGAAGCAGCATCGCCAGCAGCAGCAGCAGCACCAAATCCCCTTCCCGCCCAGCAGCACCACTTCCACGAGCAACACCACCAGCAGCAGCGGCGGCACAAGTTTCTCCACAGGGGCGCTATCAACGGATCCTCTTCCTCATCCTCTCTCCCCCTGGGTCTGCACCTGGGATGCAGGCCCGACCTTGATGCCTCCTTCACCTTTCTCTCTGCTCTACCTTCTCCCGCTCCTCAAATCCAGCCTCCCTCGCCCACCACCACCTCCCCCACCACCTCCCCCACCCCCTTCCCCTTCCCGCCCACCTCCCCCCTGTGTGCGCGGCTGTTCAAGCGTGCTGTGCCGCGCAGTGAGTACCTGCAACAGGCGCACCTGCTCTCCTTCTGGCTGCTGCACCCCCACGACTTCCCCTGGGCTCATGCTGATGCTGCTGGGGATGCTTGTGTCACTTTTAAGGGTTCTAAATCTCCCTGCGCGGCTGCTGGGGAAGTGGGGTCTGATGAAGAGCAAGGGGAGGAGATCAAGCGTGAGGGGGAGGGCGTGGGGGAGGGAGAAGGGGGGTCTACTGCTGCTGCTGCGAGGGTGATGGTGAGCGGTGGGGAGGGAGGAGGTGAGATGATGATTGGAGTTGAATCAGGAGTGGGTGGTGAAGCAGGAGAATCAGGGGAAGGAGGGGAAGCAGCAGTGGACGCATTTGCAAGTGTGGATGAGGCAGCAGAGGCACTCACTCAGCTGAAACCATGCCGGGCAGTTCCCCATGCTCATCCTGCTGCTGCTACTGCTGCTGCTGATGATGATGATGTAAATGCTGATGCTGATGGTGATGCTGATGGTGATGCTGATGCTGATGCTGATTGTGCTGTGGTTGAAACTAGAAGTGAAGATGCTAATGGAGATGCGACAATAGAAGCAGAAGCAGAAGGAGCAGAAGCAACAGCCGAAGCAGAAGCAGAAGAGGATGCGGTGGATATAAGAGCATGGCCCAAGAGGAGGCGGGGCGGAGGGGGCAGCAGGAGCAGGAGCAAGAAGGCGCGCGTGGTGGTGGTGACGGTGGGCAGAGCGGGGTCTGGCAACGATGCTTCCAGCCTGCCCTCCTCTGCCAGCAGCGGTGAGGGTAAGAGACAGTTGATGCTGCTCCCCCGCCCTCTCTCGCACGGGTCCTTCATGTTGATGCTTCTGCCATTTCTCTCCATCACTCTCTCTCTGTACCCCCTTCAATTTCCTCTCTCTTCCCATTCCCCCACCCTCTCTATCCCGCAGCATCTGCACTGTCTTCAAAATGCGTTGGGGTTGCTAATCTTTGTACCATTCCCACATGGGGTCTTTATTGCTGGTTCTTGAAACCCCATCGTTCTCCCTCTCACTACGCACCCTGGTAGTAAATCAGATACAGTGAGAGGAGCCCGGACACCCATGTGGGAATGGTACAAAGATAAGCAACGTGTGTGTCCAGGTCACAACCTTGCTGAGTATCGTTGCTCATTCCTTGCCTCTTGCCTTCCCCCTCCTCTTCTTCCCCCCTTTTCCTCCTTCCCCTCGTCCCCTCTTCTTCCCGCCCACCCGTTTCCCCTGCGCACCCATCCACCCTTCCGCCCCACGTGGCAGACGTGGAGGAGGAGGAGGCAGCGGTTGCGGTGAGCAGGGCGAGGGGGAACGGCGAGGGCAAGGAGAAGGACACGAGCAGGAACGGCAAGAAGGACGCTTATCTGCTGAAGCTGCCCAAGGACATGCAGGGCCGCTGGTCAAAAGAACGGTACGTGAATGTGTGTGGGACTTTTTGTGTGGGTGTGCCAATGCCAAACAACTGCTGAAGCTGCCCAACGACATGCAGGGCCGGTGGTCAAAAGAACGGTACGTGTGTGTGCGTGAGTGTTTGAGTGCTAGCAGGGCGTATCAACCGCACCTCTGCCTGAGGGTGTGCCTGCCTGCACCTGCTGAAGCTGCCCAAGGACATGCAGGGCCGGTGGTCCAATGAACGGTTAGTGACCCACGACCCAGGTGAAGCTGGTGGACATCATGCCATGGCCCATCACTCATCCGTACAATCTTCTCTCTCCCCCACATCCCTCCCTTCTCCTCTTTGAAAACGCGCACACAGGTACCGCAGGGCGCAGGTGAAGCTGGTGAAGCGCAATCCTGACAATCTCTCCCCTTCTTTCTTCTCCCTTCCCCGCTCTTCCCCTTTTTGAATGGGCACACAAGGTACCGCACGGCGCAGGCGAAGCTAGTGGACATAATGCAGGCGCAGGGTGCAATTCTCCCCATCCACCCCCCATTTTCTTCTCCCATTCGCCCTTTGTTTTTTTTCCGAATGCGCACGCAGGTACCGCACGGCCCAAGTGAAGCAAGTGGACATCATGCGCGCGCAGGGCGCGAGGCCCGGGAAGCCCACAACCCATCCCCACAACACAACGCACGGCTCCTCTCCATTTCACCTCACCTTCTTCAAATCCACGCAGGTACCGCACAGCACAGGTGAAGCTGGTGGACATCATGCGCGCGCAGGGTGCAACTCTGACCATCCCCCCCCTCCCTCGAATGGTCCTTCTCCCATTCGCCCTTGATTCTTTTTCCGAATGTGTATGCAGGTACCGCACGGCGCAGGTGAAGCTGGTCGACATCATGCGCGCGCAGGGCGCGAGGCCCGGCAAGCCGATGCTGCGGCCGGTGCTTCGGGAGGAGGCTCGGCGGTACATCGGCGACACGGGGCTGCTGGACCATCTGCTGAAGCACATGACCGACACCGTGGTGCCCTCGGGGCAGCGGTTCAGACGCAGGCACAACAGCGAGGGCGCCATGGAATATTGGCTGGAAGACGCTGGATTGATGGCTATTAGAGCGGTGAGGAAGGGTGGGGAGGGGTTGGGACGTGGGGGAGGTGGGGAAGAGGGGTTTGAGGGAAGGGAATGTGTGGAGGGAAGGGGGGGAGAGGGTGTAATGCGAGGGTGGTGTGGTATGGAGTGCATGGCATGAGTGCGGTGTGGGGGGGAGCTACATCAACATCGGGGACACGGGGCTGCTGGACCATCTGCTGAAGCACATGACCGACACCGTGGTGCCGTCGGGGCAGCGGTTCAGGCGCAGGCACAACAGCGAGGGCGCCATGGAGTACTGGCTGGAAGACGCTGGATTGATGGCTATTAGAGCGGTGAGGGGTGGTTGGGAGGGTTGGGGGTGTGGGAGGGAGGTGCGGAGGGAAGGGGTGCGGATGTCAAGAGTGTTAAGAGCCGATGTGGGGGGGAGGGGATGTGAGGGGAAGGGGAAGAGCGGATGTCAAGAGTGTTATGGGAAGCATGTTACCGCAGAGGGGGCAGCGAACACTATTTTTTCACCTCCTTCGACTGTGTTCTTGAGAGGGGTTTCAAAAACTGTCTCTTTCCTCCCTCTACCCTCCAACCTCCTTCCTCCTTCCGCTCTCCAACTACCCCCAATTCACCAACCCCCTTCCACTCCCCACATTCCTCCGCGCTGCCCTGTGTGCAGGCTGCGGGCATCAGTGACCCCACGTGGGTGCCCCCACCAGGCTGGAAGCCGGGGGCGGATCCCCATTTGCCATGCGGTACCAAGCGGTGCCACAAGGTTGAGCGGGATGTGGAGAGGATGGGGGGCTCCATGTCTGCCATGCGCAAGTGAGATGACAAATGCCCTCACCTCCTCCTCTCAGACTCCCTCCCCCTTTATCTCTCCCTTGTGCGCCCTTTCAAAACATGATAAACTGCCGTCCTTCTTTCAGAGAGTAATATCCTGCTGTCCTGCTTGCTTGCATGTGGTGTCCAGTCTACCTCCTCATTCATTCCGCCCGCCTGCCTTCTCTCTCTGCCCCATCAGAGAGCTCGAATAGCTGAGGCGGCGGGTCTTGCTGTCTTTCGTACCATGGCATCCCGTCTATCTCCTCATTCCCCCCCTCCCCTCCTCCCCTCCTCCGCCCCCCCCCACTCTCTCTCTGCCCCTTCAGAGAGCTCGAAGAGCTGAGGCGGCAGGTGGGAAAGCTATCCTCCAAAGGCCTGCAGCATCAGGAGGAGCAGCAGCAGCAGCTGAACCATTGTGTGAAGGTAACGAGGGGAAGGAATGTCTCAGAAAGCTTGCTTCCGCTTGTTTTGAGGCTGCTTCTGTTTGCGTCTTGAAGCGCCTCCCCTGCTTCTCAGCTCTCTCAGTATCTTCTTGTGCTTTTTAAATCCTGGAACCAACCGCTGCTACCCCTCCTCTCCTCTCCTCCTTGCCTTGGACCTTTGGTTGCCTCTTGCGCCATTTTTAGTCAACTCTAGCGTCACTTGGTAGACTCAAAAGCCACCTTTTTGCTGCTATTGCTGGCCCTCTTTCTCCTTTCTTCTATGAGCTGCTTTCTCTCGGACCTCCAATTGCTGCTTGCAAGCCATTCACGACACATATTCTGTCGTCTTCTTTGCGTCTATTGCTGTGTGCTTGCACGTGATGCAGACCACGAATGGGAGCATATGGGAGCCGAATCACTCAGCCCTGCAGAATCTGCTCACTAATGTAAGCTTCACTGCTAATTACTTCACTATGAATCCTCCCCACCGCACATCCTCACTGGCCTCTGAGGCTGCTGTGCTGCTGCTATTGCTGCTGCTCTGCTGCTTTCATTCTCATAACATGATCTGAACTCGATGCATGTGGTGTGTGGGGGGGTGCAGGTATGGGAGGAGCTAAAGCAGCACAACAAGCTGAACCAGCAGATCCTGCTTGCACTCAACACCAGCAACAGCGAGTAGGTCCAGCTGCTGCCACTGCCGCGGCTGCCACTGCTGCTGCCGCCGCTGCTGCAGCTCCTGTTGCTGTTAGCTTTGCTTTCTCATCCTTGCATGTAGCATTTCGAAGCATTTCATCCAGCTGCAGTAACCAATCCGCCCACCTTTCCCTGTCCACCCCCCTACTCTTTGTGCCTGTGTGTGCCCCTGTGTGCCCCTGTGTGCCCCTGTGTGCCCCCTGTGGCCTCCGTGTGTGTCTCACCCGTTGTTTGCAAATGACACAGTGTACTCGATGCCATCACATGCCAGGCCGCCAAGTCCCTGCCTGCCATTCTCGCCGCTGCTGCCGGCTCCCTGCTCTCTCTGCCCCACTCTGACCTCCACTCTCCCAACGCACAGCAGCAGCAGCAGCAGCACGACGTGCAGGGGAACACCAGGAGCACCAACACCCTCCCTGCTCTTATTCTCCCCTCCGTCTCCACTGCGCTGCCAGTTCAGGTACCATTTCTCCGATCACTGATTTCACCGAGCACTGATTTCACATGCACTGAGCGCCCTTAATCCTTTCATTGTCGCACCTTTCCGTTTCTTAGACGTTGCAAAGACCAGACTCCTTCCAGACAGACTCGCGCTGAAGCACGCAGCACCTTTTGCTTTCTCACCCAACTCTCCCCCGTCACTGCAGGAGCAGCCGTCGAGTGCACCAAGGCACGTGAATGGGAGCGAGAAGCAGCAGAACGACCTCCAGCTAATGACCTCTGCCACTGCAGACGTGAAATCCCTGCTCAGGAGCAACACTCAGCAGTCGGCAACAGCAACAGCAGCAGCAGCAGCAGCGGCAGTGCATAGAGTGGCACATGCAGCAACACACGGCAAGACACTCGGGCTGCTCAAGCTCCCTTATTGTGTCACTCAGAACCCCCCTCTTTCTAGACTTCTGCCATAGTGACAAGAGTGCCGCTCACTGTTGTTTTAAGCCTCAGAGTCAGGACTGTAGTATATGAGTGCTGTGTAGTTGGTGTGTGTGCATGTGTGTATGTGTGTAGTGATTTGCTTCTTGTAATGTGAATATGTGTGAGACCCACAGGGCCTACTTACAAGTTTGGGAATTTATACGCGGGAAATTCTGCTGAGCACAAGGGGGAGCTTTAAGCGTATGTGTGCAGAGAACGTTGAAAGCCACTCTAAAAAGGACATGTTCACACAATCAATTTAACACATTGCATATCAAAATGCGAGCACACAGCACAAGCCATTAGCCTTCAGCCCTTAGCCCTGCTGCACACAAGCACAACTGTACTAAACATACATATGTAACACACAATGAATCCTGTGCACACCTCTCCAAACCGCACTCAACACCACAACCATCGCCACCCTATTCTACAAGCTCATTGCGCTAACCCTGCTGCTGGTCAAGCCAAGTGCCCTTTTCATCGTCCTGGCACATCAGAAAAATCGTCGGGATAGCGATACCGCAAGTAGGCATTTGGCACGTATCGCCCCGCTCTGCGCAAGCAAAGAACAATTCATTGAGATTACCGCATCCAACACATGCAAGAAGCAGTCCTGAACCAATGTCAAACCTGAGAGAGTCTCTCAGGTAAGTACCACCCGAATCTAAACGAGCTGCAGCGGACCACGCAGGACACGTAAAATCTACGACGGGAGCCAAGGCAGCAGTACGTACCTGGGTCCAACTACCAAAATTAAAAGTTACCCGATACCTTTTACAAGATTAGGAACCAATCACGGTACCTGAGTCCGAGGAAGTAGGCACCAAGCTCCTCATTGTGAACAGGCCCAACTTCGGGTGACGGAACAAGGTTCTCCTGAGGCACTGCGCACGACAGAGAGTGGAGCAGACAGAGGGAGAGAGAGAGATCCATAGAGAGAGGAAGAGAGGTGATGCTGAAGGTCGCAAGCCCTTGCATAGCTCCAGTGCATGAGAACAGCTGTGTGTTCTACCGGATACCATGTATCTTGTGAGAAGGTAGGCTGGAAAAAGACAGTTGGTGGGTGAAGAGGGAAGAGAGGGGGCCGAAGCAGAGAAGCGTGGAAAACACGGGGCTTTAACCTGCAAGCACACATTCGCAAAGAGCCGTTCAATGCAGGACGCACCATAGGTGGTGTGGTGAGGGTGGTCCCTGACATCCACGAGCAATCGATAGAAGGGCTGTACTCGCCCCAGTCGCAGCTTGTCCACCTGTGCCCCCCCCCCCACACACAGCACAGGCAGCACAGAGAAGCATTGACCCCCACAGAGAAGCGGACGCACACAACGGGGACAAAAGCACACATAAGAGGAACGGAAAGTCATACGTCACGAGACAGGAAGGCGGGCGGGTCTTTCGAAAAGACTCAGAGGCTGCAGCTGGTGCAAACAGAGAGCGCGCGAGTGAGCCGCAAAGACAAAGCCAGCATCTATCCGCCTATATCCAGGAGGGCACGGCACTCACTCACTCACTGACGGCCCACCTGCATCTGCGCTATCCATGTCTCGTCCGCGGTGCAGCGAGGGTCCCACCCGAACACGATCCCGCGGTACCCGAACCGCCGGTGCCGCACTATCGTGCCCACTCGGAACGCCAGGTCTGCTGGACGGGGCGTGAAGTGCTCGTTGCACCACAGCTGGATGACACGCAATGAAACAAGGGGGTGGGGGGAGGGGGGAGGGGGAGGGGGAGGGGGGATTGAAGAGGAAGGTTAGGAACTGAGACTCGAGTCACCACAGCTGGATGAAGCATGAGGAGAAACAGGAGCGGGAGGAGGGGATCGGGGAGTGGTTGAGGGGAAGGGGAGCGGGAAAAGGGGGAAGGAGCATGGCAAGGCCATGCTTCCGCATCTGCTGTGCATTGTCCATTAACTGCTGCGGCAGCGCACGTGTGCTTTCGTGTGTGCGTGCACAAGCGTGTGCATGAGTGGGTACATCAGTGCGTGGGTCCAAGCGCTCATACCTCGTGCTGCCTCCGCATCTGCTGTGCGTTGTCCATGAACTGCTGCCGCAGCGCGCGTGCATGCTTGTCGTGCATGCGTGCGTGCGTGCGTGCGTGCGTGCGTGCGTGCGTGCGTGCGTGCGTGCGTGCGTGCGTGCGTGCGTGTGCGAAGGGTCCTAGCGCTCATACCTCGTGCTGCCTGCGCATCTGCTGTGCATTGTCCATGAACTGCTGCAGCAGCGCGCGCGGCACCGCGCCCGGCACGGCCCCCTGCTGCCCCGACGCCTGCAGCAGCACGTGCAGCTCTGCTGTAACCGCGTCAAAGTCAGGCACGGTCAGCAGCAGCTTCGCCTTGTGAAAGCGCTCGCCCACGTCGCTGGGGTTGACGGCTAGCAGCAGGTCCAGGAGTGGTAGCAGGCGCCTCTGCGCGTCCCTTGATGGTTGCGTCCTGCCGTCACCATCCGCCTGCCTCTGGTTGTTGTAAGGGGATGGAGGGAAGGAGCAAAAGGGCAAGAAAGCAGCAGGGCGGGAGGGAAGGAAAGCGCAAGAGGAGGCAAGAGGGCAGGAGGGTGGGAGGGTCGGGGGAAGGAAGAGAGGAGGGCGTCAAAGTCAGGCACGGTGAGCAGCTGCTTGGCATGTGAAAGCGCTCGTCCACGTGCATGTGTGCGCGTGTGTGCCCATGCTTACGCACGTACCTGTGCGTAGATGGCGAGGAGGTTGTTGCACATGCGGACGAGCACGGCCTGCGCGCCCACAGGAGCCAGCAGGCGATGACTGTACTCCAGCCCCATCGACCTGCACGCACCCAGCCAGCATGCAACCAGCAAGCACGCAATGGGCGCGGGGAGGAGGCCGGAGAAGAATGAGAACCAGAAAAGGAATGGGAAAGGCGGAACAGAATTGGAAGAAGCGGATGGGGCGTTTGGAGGGACTGCGGGTGAGGTAGAGGGAGAGGAGGGAGGAGAGGCGGAGGGAGAAAGGTGAAGAGAGAGAGCGCACACCTGATGAGCTGCACACACTCCTCGCGGTGCAGCAGCCTTCGATTAAAGCAGTCCATGAACCGCTCCTCCAGCTGCCCGTCCTCGCCCACCTTGGTCAGAAAATGCAGCGGGATTCCCACCATGCGCACCGGGATGCCGCACGCGCGCCCTATGGCCGCGTGCAGCACGGCCAGGCTGATGGGGATGCCCCGCCGCGAGTCCAGCACGTCGTTTATGTACGAGTTGCGCGGGTTGTAGTAGTCGTCCCTGTTGCCGTCCAAATGCAGGCATTCTGGATCCTCCTGCTCGTGCTCCCGACCTGCCGCTCCCTCCTCCTCCTGCTCCTCCTCTTCCTCCTCCGCGCCTTCCTCCTCTTCCTCCTCTTCCTCCTCTTCCTCCCCATCTTCTTCTTCTACTGCTTCATCACCAGCAGCAGCAACGACAGAAGTGTCAGTCCCACCAGGTGTAGCAGCTCTGTTAGCAGCATCAGCAGCAGCACCAGCAGCCGCATCAGCAGCAGCAGCGCCTTCAGTCGTGCCTGGAGTCCCTGCTTCTGCCTGTCCTCCAGCAACCACCCTGCTCCTGACGTCCGCCTCATGTCTCTCTCCTGCGCCTCTTGCTGCTGCCACCTCGGCCTGCGCCTGCGCCTCACCTGCTTGCTGCTGCAACTGCTGCTGTACAGGCTGCTGATGCTGCTGCGGCAGCTGCTGCTGCTGCTGGTCCTGCTGTTGCAGCTGCTGCGGCAACGGCCGCTGCTGATGCCGGGGTTGACGCTGCTGCTGCTGCTGCTGCTGCTGGTGGTGCGGGTGTGCCGGCCGGGGCTGTGCAGCAGTGCCTGGCGGGCCGAAGACGAGTCCATTGAGCAGCTGCAGAGCGGCCACAGCACCACGGGGAGTAGACGGGCCTCCGTACCGACTCACCCTGTCACATACACAGGAGTTTCGAAACGGGAGGAAGAATGTGGGGGCAGCGGAGGGGAGTGGGCAAGGGGAACAGAGAAGAGAACGCAATGACCGTACAAAACCTCGAGGAGTAACTACGGGCAAGAGCAGAAACAGGTGCAACTGCGCAATCAGAGGGGCCAGACAGTACATGTCAACAGCACAAGCCTAAAACAGACTATAGCCAGGCAAAAGGAAGAAGAGGCACTGACAGTGGGCTGCTGGCAATGCGGGCACGCAGAACAGCAGCGGTATCAGCCAGGCGATTCAAGACTGCGCCCGTGTCCAGATCCCTGTATCTGCACGGTCAAAAACAACGGGGCGAAGGGAGGAGGGGGGGTAAGATGAGAGAACAGAGCACATAACATAACGGCAATGACCTGAATCAAGTGACAAAGCAATAAAGGGCTTGTGCGGAGCAGAGGAGGAAGGGCGGGTAGCGGAGGCGAAGAATAGAGGAATGCTGAAGACGGCGTAGAGAAGTGGTGTTTGCGGGAAGAGGGAGAGGAAGAGAGAGTGAGCAGCGGGGAGAGGGAGAGGCAGAGCGGTGAGCGGAACGGTGGCATGACAAGGGACGCGGGCCTGCCAGTACCTTAGCTTTGCCACTATTAGCGCCCCCCGTGCAATCTCGTCCTCCAACTGCAAAGTGCATACGTGTAGGGAAGGGAACAAGTCAAAAGATCCGCGCTTGAGGAATCATGCATTCAGACCAGAGCGGGAGTCACTCAGGAAATGAAGTGTAGAACAAGAAGCTGGTTCAAAAATGAACGATTTCCAGTGTACGTCGCCATCACCACACTCGCCAGCATGAGCACGTGCATGAGCAGGAGCAGGGAAGGCAAAGAAGGAGGAGGGACGAGAACAGGAGAAGGAGCAGGAGGAACGGGGACAGGAGCGGCAGCAGGGCCAGGAGCGGCAGCAGGGCCAGGAGCGGCAGCAGGGCCAGGAGCGGCAGCAGGGCCAGGAGCGGCAGCAGGGCCAGGAGCGGCAGCAGGGCCAGGAGCGGCAGCAGGCAGCAGCAGCACCACTACCACCACCACCATCAAGGCTCAGACGGTTCAACGGCGGCGCTCCTCACCGTGTCTGGCGGCAAGCGGAGGAATCGTTTCATATCCAGCACGCAGGTGCGCGTGTGAAGGTGATGCAACGCCTCTCGCGCAAAGTACCGCGTCCCTGCCGACAGAGCATCTCCCGTCTCCGCCAGCCGCTCCAGTTCCTGCAGCAATATGATAATAGCGGGTAATGAGACGACTTTTGAGGCGCCTCAAAAGCCCTGCCGACAGAGCATCTCCCGTCTCCGCCAGCCGCTCCAGTTCCTGCAGCAAGGGCACAGCAATGGGAGGGAACACACCCACAGTCACGTAGCGTGATTGAGGGGAGCGACAAGCAGGCAAACTTGGAAAAGCGGACGGAAATTCACTCATTATAATTGTCTGGTTTGCATGCCACCTGCAAATGTTGAACCGATTCGGATGCCGTGCCTGCTGCTCCTTCTTCCCACCCACTCATGTCGAACCCGAATTTATCACAGGGACTCTACCCATCCCAATGGGTGCATTTCGCTCCAGCTAAACGCTTTCCACTTCTACCGCCCACACTGTGCCGAATCATACCACCGCACCATACCATACCGTACCTCGACAACGAGGTTCCCCAGCTGCAACACTCTCCTGATAGCCTGCGGGCGCCGCAACGGCCACGCCATATCAGCCAGCACCCCTCGCACCTCCTCCTCTATCACCACTCTGAACCGAAACACCGCCCGCCACCCCCAGTGCCGCGCTCTCCGCGAAAACTCCTGCCGCCCCGACCGTCCGTCGCTCGTTTCGTCGTCGCCACCCCCCTCGCGAATCCACGCCTCGTACACCTCTCTCATGTCGCCTACCATGCCCGAGCCCGTGGCACTTTCCCCGGCCGAAGCACCGGCAAGTCGTCCCAACCGCTCGTCCCGGATTAGCCTCCCTGTGCCCTCGTGCCATGCCTCTCCTCTCCTCGCAGCGGCGCCTGGGAACGGAGCAGCCGCTTCAGCGGGTGCCGTCGCAGTCGCAGTCGCAGTCGCAGTCGCAGTGGCCGTCGCAGTGACCGTCGCCCCTGATGCTTCCCTGTCCGCTGAAGCTTGAGCCGGTCTGAGGTGCGTTCCGTGCGGGTCCCGCGTACTGGCCCGCAGGGGGCTCTCCCCGCTTTCCTCCTCCGCGGAACCCGCAGGGACATCTCGTCTCAGCGGCGTCTCGCGCGCACTAATATCGCTTCTTACGGTTCCACTCCAAGGGTCCTCCCTACCAGGCTGCCTGCTAGCAAATTCCGCCGCGCCTCCAACGGCCGGCGACGGGACGGAGGCGGCTGTCTGACGGAACCTCTCTAGCCTATCTTCCCGACTAAGGAGAGATCTACTGCTTCCGGCTGCGGCTGTCCGGGATGATTGTTCCGCGGGAAGCGCGGAGGTAATGGCAGGGTACCTGTCCCACACGCTCCAGCGCTTGACGCATATGCTCTCCCAGATGGGATCAGAGCACGATACTCGGTGCCACAGCGTGCTCACTCCACCCACCCTGAGCAGCTCGCGGGGTCCGAGGTACGCAAACACCTGCACCACCACGGAACAAGGGGGGAGATGCGAGCCGATTAGGCTCGCGAACGTCCTTGTTGCATGGTTGGAGGACGAAGTGCATGTTTGAGGAGTCTACGCAGAAAAGCTAGATCTTGTTTAGAGCTAAGGCATAACATGGCAGACGGGACGTCTAAACAAGGGCACGGCGCGGCACGTCCAAACAAACGGGAGCTACACTACACGGAACGGAACAGCAAATTGCTGACTGCGGGTAGCAAAGACGCTACAAGCTGGGAAAGCTAGGATTAGAGCGGTTGGTTGGTACAGTTACAGGAACTGCAGCTAAATCATCCAGGAAAGCTAAAACAGCCAGGGAAGCTAAAGCACCTGCTGCAGTAGCTCGTCTGGTAGCTGGAGACTGTCGTGAAGCTTGACTGCTGCCATGGTCTCTATAGCAGCAGCAAGCCGGCCTGCCTCTGGCGACATCTCAACGGTCAACGCCTGTCTGGCGCCCCCAGCACCCTGGGCATCGCCAGGTAACTACCTGTAGTGGAGGATGTAGATTTAAAGTGGGACAAGCAGCAGAATCCTCTCCGGCCAAGTTCTTTGCAAGAGTCTGAAAGCGCAGCGTCTATAGGCCTCTAGTAGATGGGAATTATCAGCCCGGCCCCTGATCCTCTCTGAATACGACACGACTCCGTTTTTAGAGAATTATCAAAGAACGTCTCGTGCGCTACAATAAAAAGGGCCCCTCCACTACTGTACTACAGCAGACCCCTCCACTACTAGCTCTCCGTCCTAATTCATCTGCACTAGCCCATCGTTCCTGGTCATGACAAGCAAAGGAGCTCGACAAATTACGTAAAAGCAAGACGACGATGGCAACTGTCAACAGCTACCACAGAACCTCAGGCTCGGCAAGCTATAGATGGTCCTCCTACCACTCCCAGAATTTCCTTGGAAATTCTCGAGATAGGAATGAGATTTCACTTCACACTAAAAGCCGGCGAGATTCGCTGGCCTCATCTGCCCGCATGGTGCGGTGCGATGGAGGGACGAAAAGTGCTCGTGAGGAGCAAGCATGTGGTCTAGCGAACTCTGCTTGGAGCTGCGGCAGCATGTCATGTGGGTCTCGGTTCGTCGGTTCGACCTGGGAGCACAGCTTGCATTGCACCCAGCAGCATAGGGAATTCCAACATCCAGTTTGCTTTGCTGTGTGCTGTGTCAGAAAGGCGTGTAGAGCGATTGCTACTGTTTCACGTAGATTGAAATGGGTTGAGATGGGGCGAATGCTAATGAAAAAGGCGGTGTGTTGATGAGGCAACCCAAGATTTCCGCTGGTGCCAGCATCTGCAGATAGCATTCCTCAGCGCATGTAGGGGTGTTATCGCTTGATCCCCACCTGATCGCGATGGTACCGCATTGTAGCTCTCTATTGGTCCACGAGATCTTGGAGCCCATCATTGTTTGCCCCATTCTAAAGTTCCCTTCCCCATGTGTTCAACTGGCGGCGAAGACTCGTGTACGGGCGCCACGCTTCTTCATGTTTCTCGAGAATCGGGCCGCGGTAAATTCCTACGTGGCACTTGAGCCGAACTTTACATGTGGAAAGAAGAGTCGGGTGCTGGTCGAAAAGTTACGCAGCATGTGATTG